CTTTTTATTTATTTACTTATTTTATAGCAATCAGTGATTATTGCAAGACACTCATGACTGGGCAATGTGCAGATAATAAGTGACTGTCAAGTGTTTAGTTCTAAAGTGGGTCAGCGATATCAACTCCCTCCCTCCAATGCTTGGGAAACATCATTGAAGAGGGGGGTAAAGGAGTGGAGGAAATGTAAGCGCTAGGGGATGAGAAGGTGTGGTGGTTTGAAAGAAAATGGCTCCCACAGGGAGTGATGTTATTAGGAAGTGTGGCTTTGGGGAGTAGGTATGGCCTTGTTGGAGGAAGTCTGCCACTGCGAGGATGGGTTTTGAGGGCTCATATGCTCAAGCTATGCTCAGTGTGGCATCAGTTCACTTCCTGCTGCTTATGGATCAAGAAGTTGAACTCTCAGCTCCTTCTCCAACACCATGTATATCTGCATGCCATCATGTCCTACCATGATGATAATGTACCCAACCTCTGAAACTGCAAACTAGCCCTATGAAATGTCTTCCTTTATGAGATGCTGTGGTCATGGAGTCTCTTCACAGCAATAGAAACCCTAAGATAGAGGGTGGTGCCAGGAACAAGAGTGTTGCTGTGATAGGCCTGACCATGTTTTGGGGGGACTTAGGGTTAGGAAAACAGTGGAATACTTTAAACGTTACTTAGTGGACCATCTTAGTAGAAGCGTAGAAGATGGTGATGCTGAAGGCGATTTGAATTGTGGGTGCCTGGCTCAAGAAATTTCAGAGAACTTTAGTGTGTTGCCTAGAGATCATTCTTGTGATATTTTAGTGAAGATATGACTGCTTTTTGCCCTTCTCTGAAAAGTTTGCCTGAGGGTAGAGTGAAAAGTTTTCGATAAATTGCATTGGCAAAGGAAATCTCAAAACAGCCTAGTGTAGACTCTGTCGTGTGCTTACTAGTGTTGACTCTTACAAAGATTTATAATGAAAGGGGGCAAACTGAACAAGGAAAATTACAAAATGTATAATTTGAGGAGAAAAAGGGCACCAGGAAGTGGAATGGAGCTAAGCCCTTTGTTCAAGGAGATAAATAAAGAAATGGAATAAAGGGAGTGGTGACCTTAGGGCAAGACCCCACACAGCTAAGCTTCCAACTTGTGAAAAGGAATTAAAGAAAAGCTTAGATCCAGGTGTGATGGTTCATGTCTTTAATCCTAGCACTCCAGAGGCAGAGACAGGTAGATCTTTGAGTCTGAGGCCAGTGTGGTCTACAGAGCAAGTTCAAGGACAGTGAAGCTTAGGCAGTGGAGGAAATCATTGACGACAGAAAGGTAGTGAAGATGTAATTGAATGAGGGGACCATATTCTAGCCCCAGGAAACAGAAGAACTTGGAAGTTTCAGTCACATAGTTCTGGCTTTAGAGTCAAGGACAGAAGAAAGAGATTATGGAATCTTCCTCCATGACTAAGGAGAGCTGCTTAGGCCAGGCATGTGTCAGGAGTGTCCCTGAATAGTGGTCTAGAGAGGCCAGTGTGTGAAACTGTGAAGGTGAACCCGGATTGTTTTTGAATAACCCAAGATGTTAGACATGCCAGAGTCCTGGGATACCTGCCATGGAAAACTGATAACAGGGAGTGGAACCAGCTCAATAGAAAGAAGTGAGTTGCAGTCAACAAATCTGAAAGGAGTTGGAGATTTGAAGAGCATTGTGACATCAGTCAGACATGGAGATGCAGAGTTTGGAGATTGCACAGCTGGTTTTTTGTCTTGCTTTGGTCCAGTATTTTCTCATTATCCTCCTTTTCCTTCATTTTGGAAAGGTAATGTATATACTGTGTCATTATATGTTGGAAGTATGTGATCTGCTTTTTGGTTTTGATTTTACAGCGGATTACAGTTAATTGATTACATGAATTTCAGAAGAGACTTTGAACTTTAGACTTTTAAATAAATTTGAGGTGTTATAGACTATGGGGACTTTGGAAGTTGGACTGAATGCATTTTTGCATTATGATATGGTTACAAGTCTATGGGAGCCAGGGAGTAAAATATGGTGGCTTAAAATAAAATGACCTCCGTAAGGAGTGGCATTATTTGAATTATGACTCTGCTGCAGTAGGTATGGCCTTGTTGGAGGAAGTGTGCCACTCTGGGGGTGGTCTTTGAGGCCTCCTATGCTCGAACTATGTTCAGTGTAGCACACAGCTCACTTCCTCTTGCCTGTGGATCAAGATGTAGAACTTGATCTCAACTCCTCCTCCAGCCCCATGCCTGCCTGTATGTTGCTATGTTCCACCATAATGAGATCGGACTAAAGCTCTCAACCCGTAATCCAGCCCCAATTAAATGTTTTCTTTTGTAAGAATTTCTGTGGTCATGGTGTCTACTTACAGCAAAAGGCAGGAGGAGTCCCGAGAAATATTGTCTTCTGTACATGACATACCCACTGCACTCGTGAACCTATGGCAGTTGTGGTTATGAACACGAGAACTTCAGAAGATCAAGTGAGGCAACGTTCCAGGATGGGGAGGGGAGGGGCTTATGAGGCTCTCCTCTATATAAGGAGGTGTTGGTAGTTGATAGCTGTTAGGAATAAGGAGTCATTTTTCTTCGGGGACATAACCACTGCTCAGGTAGAAGCCTGAGGTAGATTGCCTCTGCTCAGGTAGACGATTCCATACCTAAGTGCATACAGACAGTATTAACTGGATTCAGTGGCCATAAAAAATGAAGAGAACATGGAGGTTGGGTGGAGATGTGCTGGAGAGATGGGAAGGGGAGTAAAAAATGAGAATTGTAAGTGAATAGGATCAGAAACACTGTACACATATATGAAATTTCCAAAGAATAAGCAAGAAACATTCTTAATAAAAAAATAGCAATATAAAACAGTACTAGTTTCCTATTCTGCATGTTTGTTTTTCTCTTGGACAAAGTTCAAAATCTGTCTCTATGCCCTAGCTCCCCAGAATTGGCAGTGCAAGGAGGGGGAATGAACCTTCAACTCTAGAAATGCAGAGTTATTGAGTATCAGTGACTTCAAAATGGCCTTCTGCAGCTGCTGTGGTTGAAGACAGAGAAGGGAGAAGTTTCCTGGCAGTTCTCTATGTTATGGGTACCCCAGAATCCCTGCTTGTATGCTGATCAACTCACTGATGAGCCCAGTGTTCATGGTGTTTTCTTTCTTTGGTCTCTGCCCCCTTTTGTCTTGTTGCTTTTGTTCCTCGAGATTTACAGCAAGCTTTTTGCTCCCTCCCTCCATCCCCCTCTTTCCCTCCTTCCTTCTCCGTCTCTGAGTTCTTGCCATATGGTACAGACTGGCCTGAGGTGGGTGGCCTCCCTTACTTCAGCCTTCTGACTGCAATAACAGCTAAATGAAATAAGGAAGACAGTACAGTACATAAAAGAGGAGTGCAATTAAGAGGCAGAAATTCTGGAAATAATAAAATTGAAATTTTGCATATGAACAGCTGAGTAAATCAAACAAAAAGAAATTTTAATATGAAGCCTCATCGATAAAATGGCTTAAATGGAAGATAGAGTATCACAGCACGTCGTGAGCAGAGAAGGAGGAAATCCCTCCTCCCCTCTGTGATATTTGTCTTTCTGTGTCTGGCTTTAAAACATATGTAGCTATGCTTACTGCAGTATAGGCTATGAAATAATCTCGTGCTTTGCAGATGTGAAGCAAACAGTTGGCATTTTTGTACTGGGTGTGACAGCTAATGAATTGCCACAAGCACTCTCTTGATGGGGAAACTCTGTCAACCAATCACATCTAGTCAAGACGTGGCTACCTGGAGCCCAGGTAGAAAAACTGGAAGGAACCAGATGCCTACCCTCCCTCTCTCTCTCTGCATGACTACCGCTGGACAGATAGGAAGTAGGACCTCCCACTCTTGTAGCGTGAGTTTCCTCTTATAACCATTAAAAATATAATTGTTATCCTTGAGCTGGCCTGGTTATTTATCGTGCCGACCTAATTCATGACACTCTCTGAAAACACATTATGAGTCCCTCACAGACAAAGAGGAAGGGACTAGAGCTGTGAGGCGCTCATGGTATAATTTACCACAAAACATGTCTGCCTCTTTTTTGTGTGTTTACCCAGAAAACAGAATTAAGGATTGATTACATTTCAAAGTCCTTCCATGGTGTCAGCCTATACCACCTCCACTTACCTCCTGACAGAGTAAACCCTGCCACTTTCATGCCAAATGGAGGCTAGGCTGGCCAGGATTGCCTCCAGTGTCTTCCCTCTGGATTCTTCTGTCTTCAATTTCCTTCAGCTTTCCCCCACAAATCTCAGGATCTTCTGTGTACGCCATCACATAAAGGGTGATTTAAATATCGAATGCAAGAAAAATAAAATAAGGAAGGGAAGGAGTGGGGCATGGGAGACTAGGTCACATGAGGGTTCTGCTTTCTGTGTCTGATGCCCCCTTGATGCTGTCTCCGGCCTTTCACTCTGACTCAATGACCCAGTCTGCAGGCACTTCAGCAACCCCACCCCCACCCCGAGCTGGACTTTGAGTCACAGATAGTCTTCCTCCTGAGATGCTTGCATCTGTACGGATCACAGCTTTAGTCTCAGAAGTCATCCATGGTGGAATCTGAGTGTCAAAGTTGGGTCACTCTCACTACCCCTTGGCAGAGTTTATCCTTTCATGGAACATGTAAATCCCAAGCAGTGAGGCTATTTTCCAATAAAACATATTCAATTTTGTATTTCCGATCAAGTGAATATTTTATTAGCTCATAAAAACATACTCTTTGGCTCTTCCTTAAGGCATTCCTACAACCAAACATGTTTTACTTTCTCCTAGCTTTGATCCAATACTTTTTGCGCCATCCCCACCCGGTGAAGCCTACTCAAACCAATATCACTGTATCACTGTTTGGTATCGTGAATTCCTTCCGTTCTTGATTTTTTTTATCAGTTTTTATTGCATATTAGATCTGGATGCATGGAAATTTAAAAAATGACTGAAGGAATGGTGACTAATAGATATGAAAAATGTTTTATTTATCAAATATCTAGAAATACAAAAACACTGCTTTTCTTATGAAGTCCTAAGAACAGGGCTCCAGTAAAACATTTTTTTATTCATGAATCCTCAGGCGTTTTCATAACCTGTAGCAGTAAAAAGAAAAGAAAATTAAGATGGGCTTGAGTTTCCATAAGCAAACTATACACCTGCCTGTAAGCACAAACAGCATAGTGTCCAAGATAGTGCAACGGAGACAGTAGAAAACGAGACCCATTATAGATAATTTACCCAGAAAGCAGTGCTGCAAACTAGCTGAGGGTTGAAGAGGCATCGGGCCTCTCCAACACACATGTTTTTCTATAATAATATTTGATATAAGCAAAATAATTCTTAAGAAGAATGTTTACATAAAACTTTTTGGAGAATGAAATTCGGGAGACAGGCCAGAAGAATTCTGGCGATCCTGTAAAGGAGTGTGAACTAGTTACCTTTGCTGCAAGGAGCACTGTACTGTGCGACTGCAAACTCATCTGAGAGAAAGGGAAAATGGAAACAAACACCATTATGTGATGTCACGATGAGCATCTGCAATTGCATCAGAAGTGCCCGGGTCATTCCCCTGGTGCCCTGCTCGCTGCCTGGAGCATCCTTCCAGGGACAATGAGCCACATTTTCCTTTTATTCCAGATTTTTGACAGGCTATTGTTGTACATCCTTAAATCTCGGATAGCCCCACAATTGTTTATCTGACAGAAAGTTAACTGTGCAGCTATTTTGTTTTGCTGATTGATACACTTAAAATGTGCTTTCTCCTATAGAAGTAAGGAGATGAAAAGTCAAGTATCCAACCTGGTGGAGACAGCACTAAGTGATGAGATGCCAGTCCTAACGGGTCACCCAACACCTTTCTAAGTTCTGTGATTGGGAGTTGGATGTCTACTCGGGCGGCTCACACTCACCTTTCTCATAGTAATCGTAGACTTTCACTATGGCAGGCTTCAGGTCTTTTATTGGAATATCTTGCTGAACCGTGAACAACAAGTTTATCTTCTCACTTGACACCTGGAAATCAAAAAGAACTCAATGACTTTCCTGGGAGATTTCTTCTCCCTTTGACTATTACAGATAAGTGTTAATTGGGATTGGGGGTGGAGGCTTTATCTGCTAACAGCATGGTGCATGGTGTAGAAAGCCCTCAGAGCAAATGAGAAAAATTACTTCTTATATATGCAACATAACTTCATCACTACACAGGCCTCAGTCCAGTGACTCTCAACCTTTTTAATGTTGTAACCCTTTAATACAGTTCTTCAGGTTATAGTGACCCCCAAACATACAATTATTCCATTGTTACTTCATTACTGTAATTCTGCTACTATAGTAAGTCATAATGTAAATATCTGATATGCAGGATATTTGATAGGCGACCTCCAAATGGATTGTGACCCACAGGTTGAGAACCCCTATCTTAATCAATGCCAGTGCATGGCTCTGTTTGTGGTGTGTGTGCACATGTGTGTACTCCTTTTCTGTTGACTACCTATTACATCATCTTTTACATTTCAGAGGTTTAGTACAATTTTGTCTTCCCATCCTATAAAAATACAGATAGAGACCCAAAAAAGTCTATAAAGGATGAGCCACTGCTGCTTTGTCAATGGAAATTCCTATCAATAGAGGTCTACATAGCTGTGCTGTTGCACCCATCTTTTCAATTATTAGTCCATGGGTGGACTGGTGTGTTGATGGAGAGAGGGTCCCTTTGTCCTGGCCACCCAGCTAGCTTACACCCGAAATAACTACACAGAAATTGTATTCATTTAAACACTGCCTGGCCCATTAGCTCTAACCTCCTATTGGCTAACTCTCACATCTTGATTTAACCCATTTCTATTAATCTGTGTTCATCACAATGTTGTGGCTTACCAGGAAAGATCTAGCATCTCTGACCGGGCTTCTTTCTTCCAGAATTTAGTTGTGTCTTCTCCACCTACCTAAGTTCTGCCCTATCAGGCCAAGGCAGTTTCTTTATTCAACCAATGAAAGCAACACATAGACAGAAGGACCTCCCACATCACTGGTGTTTTACGATTGTGTGGTCCAAGTGTCAGCTGAGATTGATGGCATCTTCTCCTCTACTCTGGTGATGATGATGATGATGATTGATTGATCACAATAACTACTTCCCGACACTATCCAGCATCTCCAAGCTCACTGGCTGACATAATGAAAACTGTTATGGAGAATGTCTTACAGGTGCCTGGAAGTATTCATACCCAGTAGTCTAGTGTGGCATCTCTACTCATAATCTCGGGTGAAATAGCTCCAAGGAGAGGGCGCTCACTGTAATGCTGGAAGTCACATGTCTCTAGCATTGAGGTGATGACTCTAAAATACAAATGCTCCCTTTCCAGACAGTTCCTTCAGGGTTGCTGTGATTTGCATTAGTCAGGGCACTCACCTTATCCAAGTAAATCAAGACATGGTTATTGCTGACTTCTGTCCGGCTCACATTCACAATGCTCTCAAGCTGAAGAAAATAGAGATGCCACAAATGTTAACAAATAGGTGTAACCCCTGGGGAATCCAGGGAAAATTAAATTGTTTTATCATCAAAATACCCTGAGGGTAAAAGTCCTTCAAAGGTCCCCTATAAACAAAAAAGTAAAAGTAAAAATGAAAGGGAACTTGGACGAAGGGCATGTTATTAGTATGGCATATGGTGCACTTGTAGAGATGATGTAGATAGAGAAAGGAGAGTTACTCATTTTTCAAGGTTCAAATAACATTTTATTTATTCATAAAGGAGATTTTTTCCTTGTTTTTTTCTTCTAACCTCAAACAATCTCATTTCCACTTAACTTCTGTTACACAGAAGTTTATGATCTGTCACTTTCTTGTTATTTCACTAGCTGATATTTTTGTGCTTTGCCTCCTTCAGAGTCTAAGATCTCTGCAATTAGACAACTGTTGAAAATGACAATAGATCTTTCTCAGGGGTGAGCCCCATATCTGCTTTTCTGCCACATATACACACACAAATGCAAGGACAGCAAAAAAAAAGAAGCCATGAATTTGAGAGAGAGTAAAAAGGAAATGTGGGGAGGTTGGAAGAAAGAAAGGGCAAGGAAAAATACACAACTATATTTGAATTAAAATAAGAAAATAAAGAGAGGAAAAGATAACATGTTTATAAGTTTCCCTGGTAGCCATGATGTCTAAACACACACAACGTGCACAAACACACATCATTTGGAGAAGGAATAACTCTTTAACACGTAATATAATAGTATTTTAGTAAATATTATCTCAGTCTGCAGATGCAAAATAGCTATCTTGGGCTTATCATGAACATACCATCTTCACTGTTGGTTTCAAGGGGATGAAGCCAGACACCATCTTCACATCAACAATTGCCATGTTGGAGTCAGAATGGCTGCCAGTGTAGCTGAAGATCAAGGGAAGGAAGACTTAGGTTTTCCTGTATTATTTAATATTCTTTTTCTATGTCTATATGTTGACTATTCCATGGTTCTACAAAGTATACATAAGATTTTCCAAGGACCCTGAAAAGCCTGCTCTGTGTTAGAATTTGTTTAGAACTTAGTTAATCCATAGAGACCACGTCTGGAATTGGAACTTCAAGTTTGTGAACTCACCTGTCCTATGTTTTAAGGAAGTTTGGCTGGTGACATGCCCTTGAGGCCCCAATCTATACTGGGATTTTGTTATTTACACTTTATCTCCACAGTTCCCTAAGTAGAGCAGTCAGTCAACTCACAAGGGTCCTGTGGATAGTTTTTGTAAGTCCTGTGGCCACTTGACTATTGCTGTGGATATGTATGCTGTTTTCCAAACATAGTACACTATGTATAGTATACTATATATGACTGGATTTACTTATTGACAGCAGAATTACAATGGAAGAGTCACTACTTTCTTTTATTTAAATCTTCCAAGAATTTTTTCTTCTGTGAAGACCAAGATTAATATAAAATTTCATCATATAGAAGGAATTCAAGTTAAAGACAAAGGCGATATTGTTTGTTTATTTATTATCAGAAGTAAGTAATTATTTGAGGGAATTAACTTCTGAAGGTAGAGGACAGGCAACATAAGCTCTATTGCTGAGAAACTCAATTTTACCAACTTAAAAGAATACTTTATTCTTAAAACAGATCCAAATATTTATTATCCAACAGTTCTGCTGAGTGAGAAGCTCCAATAAGAAGATGGGTTGTTCCCCCTGACCTTGAATTATAAAAATGAGTCTTACCTGATGTTAAGTAGGATCTGGAAGCTGGTGTAAACTTTGCAATCATCACTCATCTGAGGTAGAGTCTGTACCCGTAAAGCAAACGGGGACTTCTGCTTTCCTGGGAGGATATTGTATTTCACGGATGTCTACGAAACATTTAAGAAAGGAATCCGTTTTGGTCCTTTCCTCGAAATTCCCTCAGCTGCCTTGACTCTTTCTCCGACTTGGTCATTTGCTTGCTGGGTTATGATTTTACAGGGAGAACCATTCCAGGGACCCTTCTCTTCGGCCCAAGTCTCACCTGGAGGTACACACATCCTTTTCCTGTCACCTTTGCGGTGTAATCCTCAGGCACGGTCGGCAACTTGACCGTCTGCAGTAATAATTGGTTGTCATTGTTCACTTGGAATTTTGTAGAAAATAAATTTGGAGAACTGATGATCACTTGCACATCTTTCTTAGCTCTTGTGAAAGTAGTGGCTCCATATTTGGACAAAGCATGGAGAGCTACCACTGTGTCCTGAAAGAGGAATGGCACCACTCACTCAAGGATTGTTTTGTTTGGAAGCGATCTGTTGCTCCCACGTCTGAAGCTTACTCTCCATGGCAGTGCCATTGGAGGGAGACCAAAGCAAGTAGGAGGCTGTTCTGGTTTGCATGAAAATGCCCCACAGAGGCTCCCATATTTGAACATGTGTCTGTTCCCCTGTTGGTGATACTGTTTGGGGGGAATTTTACTTGGTGTGGCCCTGTTGGAGGAAAGAATACCATTGGGGTGGATTTTGAGAGTTGAAAGCCTTGCATTATGACCTCGTTGCTCCCCGGTCTATGTTTGACATTAAAAGTGAGTTCTCAGTGTCCGGTTCCTGCTACCATATCCGCCCCTTGCTGACAGACTTCCTTGCCATGACAGGTTCTTATCCTTCCGGGACCATAAGCCAAATAAACCCTTCCTTCTCTCAGTCTCCTTGATAATAGTGTTATATCATAGAAACAGGATCATAACTAATACAGAGGACCTTAATGCACTGGCTGCATTGCTCCTGGGAGGGATTATGTTCTGGTGGGAATCCAAGGGCGTTCTTGCTAGTTCATTGCTATAAAAAGAACAACGCTGGCCTACACAGATCTCTGGCTTCCTGTTTTAAAACAGAGTATCGCCTTCCCACATATGTTCCCTGGACTGCGACTCTCCACAAGGTGAGGAAGCCGGCAGGCAGGGCAGTCTGCACCAGAGCCTTATTTCACATTTGCTTGTCCTCTGGGCTTTCAGTATCAAAACCTGGAAGCTAAATCAGCCTCCGTCCGTTGTGGGATGACTCTCTGATATTTTGTTATGGAATGAAAGGAGTGCTAATATAGATAGGAAAACTCTGATTTTCCAAAGTCTTGCTAGCAGTCACAGGGTTTTAGGTTTCCTAGTTTTGTATTCTCTTCATTTATTTAAGCGTTAAAGACTGATCAAAGCTTCTCGGTGGATAATGGGATAATAACATCACAAAATGCCTTGGGTTATGTGCTCTACAGTAAACGGATCTCTCTCAGTCTCCCTATATAAAGGTGTGTGATATGGGATGTAGAAATTGTATGTAAATGGGAATGGAATGCTTTATTAGCATCCGTTCTTTACTTACGGAAGCCCTATGGACCGTTAGGATCCTATCTGCTGTGCCCCAGTCAGAGCTTTGTCTGGTTCCCTTTCCAAATTAAACTTCTCCTGTGCTGATGAGGAGCCACAGTCTTTTATACCTGCTCAGAGTCAGGCCTCAGTTTCTCCACAGGAAGCAGGGAGCTTATTAGGAACATCCCCCTGCTGTGATGTTCTTCTTACTTGGCTCCCCCTTTTCGTCAGAATACCACCTGTGTTCACTTCCTCCTTGACATGCTATATTCTCAATGCCATTGACTCTGAGCTGGGAGGGCACATGTAAATGATACATTTCTAAGAAATCAGTGAAAATGATGTTTAATCAAATATTTTTTTCATTCTTGTGGGAAAAATAACCTTATTTTTAATGGAATTGAAAAGGGCAAGATTGTATTTCTCCACATCCTCTTTTCTCTTAGAGAAGATGTATGCTAACATCTACTTTCTCTGAAAATGAAGCTTCTTGCTGGGCGCGTGCTGACGAATTGTTAGATGCAGGAATACATAGTTTTGCTTGAGAGACTGGATGGGTAAAGACAGTCCATTATGTTCCTAGCACACATATTTTTGTGTACCAAGAGGTGTCTGGGGAACATCAAAACTGTCTAGTTTAAACATAGACCTACCCATGGACACATCTGTAAGGAGAGACTGTTGAGTTAGGGTTCCCATTAACAGTTCAAAAGAGAGCCTCTGCCTGCAAGAAGAATAACAGGTAATTTCCCCTTCCTTCTTCTAGTGCCCTAGGACTGTTGTAGGCACGTGGATTTTTTATTGAAACTAGGAGACCATGGGAATGCAGGGATGGAGTGGGGTGCCGTCGGCTAAGAATACTTTTCTAGCATTTCTCCCCATTATCTTTGTATATTATAATCCTTCATGAGCACTCTTTTGTTCTCATGAGAGTTCATAGTTAGCAAGTCTTTGGCCATTTGAAGGTGAAGTGAAAGGTTCTGGCCAATATCTGACCTGAGTGGAGGAGAAGCCACCGTGCGAATTCTGCTGCTTCGTGAGCCACTTGACAATGAGCATCGCAGCAATCAGTTCCTCGTGGATGGGAGCAGGCTGGGCCGTGAGATAGGCCAGGAGCACGTAGGCACTCATCTCGACCTCAGCAGAGGGAGCCTGAGGTTGGTACCAAAGACCCTCTGGCACCATGGGTTTCTGAGGACTGGCCCAGTGGATGGAAATGTCTGGAGGCGAGAAAAAGATATCCATCAGTGACTAAATATTTATATCGCTGTTTGAAAGTAACCAGGGCAGAGCTGAAGTGAGGACTGCACTTCAGATGTAATCTTTCAAACCTTAGAGAAATATGCTCCCTTTGGTATCAGTGTGAACTGGATATTTCAGTCCCGTCAATATTGGCAGGGCCTGTTGGTAGAGTCACAGGACCCTTAACTACTTGTGACTTAAAACAGCCACTGCAGTTGTGCCCTGGGAGAAAGTTTTCTCACTGGCCGTGGGTAGTCTGTTTATGATGTGATCTTGAGCTTGACTACGCTGTAGTGGATATCTAATAAAACTTTTCCCGAGAAGTCTCTTGTGAATGTCCCAGAGCATATGAAATAGCAGAAGATTATACTCATTAGATTGCAAGAACTCTTATCGTCTTTAAAATACCCAAAGCAGACGTGCCTGTTTAAGGGACGGAACTGGCGAGGACTGCTGTGCAAAGTGAGTTTATGCTGGCGAGCAACTTGGCAACATTCAGCAGAGCAAAAAGTGTCAGGTGTATAGTGAGTCATTACGATTCTAGAAGAATAGCTTGGAGAAGCTGGCATGTACAGAGAGACAGGCACCCGTGTATCCACTGCGGTTGTTCAACAACGGGTCTGACATAGTGGCACACATCTGTCACTCCAGGACTTGGGAGACAGAGGCAGGAGGATTGTGAATTTGAGGCTAACTTAGGCTACCTAGCAAGATTTTTGTCTCAAAAATAAATAGGAGTGACAATTCACAAGCTAAAGCTACAGGTGTTGATAGGGAGGTTTATTTGCATAATCTTAAACTTAAAAATTAAACAGAAAAGAAGCTGAAGAAATACCAACATATATGCTACTGCAGATGCAAAGATGAAAACTTTATAAGATTAATGTATTACTTATGGACAAATGCAACAAATACACATGTATGTATTGTAATAATGAACTCAAGATAATGTTAACCTCTAAAGATGGAAATTAAACATGGAATTTTTGTGTGCATTGGGAATACTTTATTTCTTATTCTGGGAATGAGTTACCCAGTATTTTCTAACTATTCTTTATGGCCTTTGTATTATCTGAAGTATTTCTCAGCATATTAAGAACATTTAATAACACTATCAAAGAGGATAAGTTTAATGTTATTGAGTATGTGTATTATATTTTTTCTTTAACTTCTTACATAAACTGTGATGTATGTAAAAAACATATGAAAATAAAAAGATTGGTCAACATGACTGAATTCTGTAATGAGACAAAATACCAGAACTTTCTCATGAGGTCACCAAGGAAGGGTCAGATGTGGATTGGGGACTGAAGTCTTAGTAATAAGAAATGGCAGCTGGTATTTCTATAACACTTACCATGTGCCACACATTCCACTAAGTGTCTACATTTATTATTCACTTAATGCAACAACCCTGCAAGGCAAACCTTATCCCTGTTTACAGAAGAAGCTTACCCAGAGTCACACAGATAGTTTCTTTGGAGTGAGTCTCCAAGGCTGAGCTTCAAGCTCTTCTTATTCTTTGATGCTTCTTATTTTTTGATGTGTGATTTCATTTTTAAAATCATAGATTAAAAAAATCATATGGAATACGTAGGTAACTAGATGACAGACAGCAGGTGGCGGAGAGGACAGGGGTCACAAGATGCAGGGTAGGGACAATCTACTGTGAATTTTTTGGTGCCCGGAATGTTGGCAGGAGAAAGATCTCAGACCCGCTCTCACCTTCTTTCACAGATTCCTCACTAAGTGATTTCAGTATCTCTATCCTCATGGCCTGGTTCCCAGCAAGGGCAAATGCATAGGCCAACAGCGCCTTGGTGTAGACATTGCTGCCGTGGGCTCCTTCCTTTGCTGACTTCCAGGCTGTGTCCAGGCAAAAGAGGGCATTGCGAATGACAGTGTGCTGAGAAAGGCGGGCAGAAAGGAGACAGCTGTGTGAACAAAGGCACCGGCCTTCCCAGGGAAGCATACAAAGTAGAACATAGCACTAGAGATAAAGACGTGCTTCCAGTCCATTCTCATACATAGAAGGAATAGCACCTAACCCAGACTCAGGGCATCACACAAGAGGAGGCAGAAAGGATGTCAGGATAGGGAGGAGTGCTGTCAAATGCTCGCTTCTGAGTATGGCGTGGCTAGCACACTATGAGCTTCCAGTAGCTAGGGCTACTGACACAAGACCTACACATGATCAAGCCAGACAAAATTCTGGCACAGATGGGGTAGGTGCTCTCCAGATTACACCCCCTACTGAGGCATTCTTGGTGCTCAGTAGTTTTTGGAGGGAGAAAGGATCATGTATTTTCAAGAGTCCAATCCCTGGTCAAAGTCCCATGCTTTGGGGATGGCCACATACTCATGAACACACGAGCAGCACCAACTGGACTTAGTGGGTTGTGTTTTTCAAAAAAGACATGAAGTTGGGAAGGGAGGGGTTGATGAGGAAATGGAGGGGATTTGGAGGGAAGAAATATGGGGGCGGGTATGATTGCATGTTACTGTATACATACATGAATTTCTCAAAAGGAAAGAAAAAGTAATCTATTATCAATCTTTAGTATGGTATCAATCATATTTTTAGGGTTCTTTGGGAAGTGGAGATGGTCATGGGAGGAAAACAGCACAGATGCCTCCCTGCAAAAATGTAAACCTTTCTTCTTTGATTGAGCAAGAGGATCTGTGAAACATTTGTACTGCATAGAAGGAAAGCTGACTTTGGTGATAGGAAGCTCAAGTCTCAGACAATGGGCCAGGGTTTTGCTGCATCCAGAGCCACCTTTTCACAGGGAATGAAGTGGTACCCACAGTGACAGGGAGAGGCATCTCCAGGAGAGCAATGGTGATGTAGGCAGACAAGGTGACTTCATCATCTACTCCTCCCTGAGAATGGGCAAGAGAAAGAGATCAGAGTAGTTCTAAGAATTCTATTAATTAGTTACTCTTATTATGTTGTGTTGTGGAACCTATCACTTTTTAATACCCACCCCCAGTCATTATATCACATTAACTGTGAACTCTAGCCTCTCTTTCTCGGTTATGTTAGGTCTTACTGTTCTTTGATGGATCTCTTGGTAATTTCTATTATATAGCATCTTCTCTCTGCCCTCACAGATCTTATAAGAAATCAATCAGAACTAAATCTGGAACGACTCACCTTTATCGCATTGTTGAACAGGGACCCAGAGCCCCTGAAACAGCCGTTGTCCTCCTGCTGATGGGAGAGCCAGAGGAAGGCTTGCCTGATATGTGTTTCATGGATGAAGATATATTTTCGAGCCTGAGCAAAACTCTTCAGCACAAAGGCTGTGAGCCTGGGCGAGGGGGAAGGGAGTGTACATTCACTGTTACAATGACTAGAACCACTTCCCATCAGCACGCTTCATGAATTACCCCCTTACACGGAAGAAGCATTCAATGGGAATCTGTGTGCGCTGGAGATGCCCTCTCCTTTAGACCTAGAAATTGCTTTGGCCATAAAGAATCTGTAGATTTCTGGCCCAATTGTTTTTCTTAGTTCTTTGTGGAAGGCCCTTTTAAAAGGCAAAATGTTTATATGGTCTGAAGAGAAAACAACATGAGATGGTCCTAGACCCTTCTCTTGAAAGGTGTCTTCCTAGACATGGCAGAATCCTCTCATGCCCTACCCTCCCATGCAGTAACTTTAAGTCTGTTTTTACTTAGGAATGTAAAAATAAGATTGTGCACCATTCTTAATTCTTTTCCCCCAATGAATTCATCTTCTCTCATGGTAAGATAATTCATCCTTTCTCATGATCCAAGAAAGATGATATAAGTTGAAGTTGATATGGCTTATCTAGAAGTCAAGTGATATTCTCACAATATCTCTTTCTGGGTTAGGGGAGCGGGTTTAGAAGAGACTATATTGGTATAACATGACCAGGAAGGCTTTTGGGAACATATTTAGCATGCATGTCCTTGGATATCAGATTATCTCCCTTGTTAAACTCGCTAATACTGGTGCATTTGTGTAGCATAATTCACTCTTGATCTAACAACGTATGACGTGACAGAGTTGCTGTTATTATAGCTGGAGTACATATAAAGATCTGGTTCAAAACAAGAGCTCAGGAAACTGGCTCCTTACCAGGTACTGGCAGGTTTATCCCCAAAGGTGCTGTAGGAGCCATCCTGGAGCTTGAAGTTTAACTGTCTTTGGTACCCTGCAATAGTGAAACAACATGACAGGTTGAATGCCCATGGAAGCCAGAAAGATGATTAAAATGTTTGCCATCTCTTCTGACTTTTCTCAATTTTTTTTTTGTCCATATATAGTATGCTCTGAGTTTGGAATGTTTTATTGGAGTTTGGAAAGTAGATAGTTCCTTTGAAATAAATCATGCTAATGTTTTCTATTATGGTAGCCATGACAGCAGGATAATATGTGATCGTAATGATAATTAACTCAATCCAACTGACCCTATGCTGCCGACTTTCAGTCCCTCATTCAGTACTCACCCATATTGAGATAGTTAATGGCCTTGTCCTTGACCTTCTGGGTCAGCTGCTGGGTTTCATTCAGATAATCCAGAACATAGATATTAGGAGCAAACAGAACCATATTCTGTTCTCCACAGCCATAGGGCATCATAAGGAGATCCTGTATGTTTTGCAGAGCAGAGCCCAATATATCTCCTAGAGAATGGCAGAGATGGGAAATAATGAAATTTAAGATTATATCTGAAATACTGAAAAGAAATGAGTAATTAGCCACATTAAAAAATGAGTAATTTTGCAAAGGATGCATTTCAGGGACAGAAGAATTACTGGAAACAATAAACAATTCAAAGAGGAGAAGACGTTGAAAGTTACATTTTTATGTATGTGTGTATATATGTATGTATGTATGTATGTATATATGTATATATGTATGTATGTATTTAAGACAAAGCATTGCTGTGAAACCCAGGCTTGCCACAAACTCTGTCTTTCTGCTTCGAGCTCTCAAGTGTTGGCATTGTAGGTGTGTCTTACCACATTGTTGTTGTTGTTGTTTTTGTTTGTTTTGAAAAAGTATTTATAGAAAAGTAACACTGTATAGGCTGAGCAGTTGTATTAATATATTTAGGAGTGTGTGTGTGTGTGTGTGTGTGTGTGTAAAATAACAATTTTTTAAGGGGTAATAATTTAGAAGAGAATGCAAGGGGGTACCTGAGAGGGGTTGGAAGGGACAAAGGAAAAAATGATGTAAATATATTTTAATATAAAAAGTCAAAAATTATAAAGTACAGCAATTTTGCTGGATAAATACAAATAACTTCTGTTTCTATCTATCTCTTCTACCTATCTATCTCTCTATCCATCCATCTACCTATCTATCTATCCATCTATCTATCTATCTATCTATCTATCCATCCATCCATCCATCCATCCATCCATCCATCTATCATCTATCTATCTATCTATCTATCTATCTATCTATCTATCTATCATCTATCTTCTATCTCTACTATCTATCTATCTCTATATATCACCTATCTCTATATATATTAATGAAAAAGAAATTCAGCAGAAGTTAACGTACAAATTCCCTAAGGAGTGAACTCACCCAAAACAGTGACAGAGGCTCGGGCAGAGTCCTTGACTACATCTGGTGGCAGCTTCAGGGTTATTTTTTCAGACACCTCATCACCTAGGGCAAGAAGCATGTCATCAACAGGAAAGGCCACTCCACACTGCGTCCTTCAGTGATGTCGATGGCTGGGAAACTAGAATTGTGCCTTACACATAAGCTACTTCGGAAGAGTTGTTCCTTTTGTTCTGATATTAGGGGTTTCTGGAATTTGGAAATTGTCATAATTCATCCCAAACCATCTGTTCTCCCCCAGTGTGAAGGCACCCGGTCAGCGAGGCTGAGGCAGAGGCTCTGTTGCGGTCACCCCACATCCTGCACAGTGTGCTCAGGACAACAGGGCCTATTTTAGTGCACAGCTTCACAACTCTCTCTCAACAATCACGAGAGGGGAAAATCCGGCAAAGATTCGTGGGTACAAATAAGCAAGAAAAACTCCCTAAATAGTCATAAATTCTACAAGTCGTGTTCTTTCTTTTAGATATGAATATAGTATATTTTAAGGGAAGACTTCTAAAATAGGAGTAAGAAAATGAATAGTACCTGACTCATTAAAAATAAAATAAAATGGAAAAGTATAATAGTTATTTCCTATGTATCCTTTTCATAAAGCTATTATTAAATTTTTTGCAAGAAAACAAATACTCTAAGCAAACATAAAAGTAACCAAGTGGAAGAAAATACTTTGACTTGCTTAAAATAAAGTAATAACAATTAAAGGATTTTGATTTGCTTGAAATAGAGTAATAATAATTGATGGATAAATATATGCTGCCACTTCAATCTTGAGGAATATATGAAAAGGAAAAATGAAAGAATTGTGGTATTTATCATCTTTTTCTCATAAAATTAATGTTGAGTTACATAAGAAGTCAGATGCCATAGGTAAGGTTGAAAGAAAACCCAATGTGTTCCTCAAATAATCAGCGTTACTCAACTCAGGTCAAAAAAAGACAAAATACTCAAATATATGTGGTAAAATGATATGACAGTATTTTATAAACAAGCCCTAAATAAACAAACAAGCAAGCAAACAAACAAACAAACAAAAAACAAGTTCAATTTCATTTGTGATGAATCAAGACAACTCCACAATGATTTTAATACAAAAATCTGGCAACATTTGTAAACAATGGAGATAAATAATGATGCAGAACATACATTCTGGAAATGTGCACTGATGTCCCCCACCTTCCTATCTAAAATTCCTCTCACTAAATTATGTGTGTGTGTGTGTGTGTGTGTGTATCTCTGTGTGTATGTGTGTGTATATATACACACACATTACTGACATTTGCTAGAAGAAATGTACACAGCCATAGTAAGGAGGTACTTTTTCTACTAAAACTAAGACTAGAGAGAAATATGATGAAATGGGAAATACCAAGCCTCACTATTTCCTCTGCAAGACTCAGCCAGCATCTTTTCAGGAACTAGAGTCTGTTTGGAAACTCTCGTACATAAACAATCTTAGACACCTGGAGGGGGCTGCCCACAACCAAAGGGAACCCATACCAGCACGGTAGGGACAGCGCCATTTTAAACACCCCACTTCTTTTGCTTTCCATACATTAACATAACACTTGACAAAAATCTCCCAATGCCCACAGCTTGTTCAGGGGAAAAAGACAACCAGAGACTGTCATCCACCCCACTTGGCATTTCAAGGGAGCTGTTTTCCAGGGAACCCACTGTGGTCCCAAGTCACAGAAGACCTTAGGGCACCAGCACAACTAGCTAACACAGATTCAGATTCAGATGCCTTGAGACAGATTGTTCTAAGAAAGATGCTCTAAGCTTTATGGCATCTAAAAAGAAAAATCTTAGTAGAAACACAAATCAAAACTAAAAAGGGTTAAAAACAACACTCTAGGAAAACATCAGACCCAAAAGAAGACAGCAAGAGGGGCAGAACGGAAGCATCTACACAACCAGGACATGTTAACGTGTGGAAATAGCCTTGCCTGTCAGTAACACCTCGAATGTAATAGGATCGGCATCTCTTATTACATTCGAGTATAAATGTATATACTCCAGTATAAAGACAGAGAGCAAATGAACGGATGAAGACAAGACCTAACGATGTGGTGTTGCAACACAATCCCCTTCTCATGACAACAGAAAAAGAACGGGGACAATGGAACTTCTTTCAGGTTCAATAAATTTTAACTAAAATATGTGAGAAGAGTCAAAGTCATTATTTAGAGACTCGTTCTTTATGAGAAAATAACAATTGTCAATATATACATACCTCTAAATCAGAGTGCATAGATAAAACAAATATTAAAGGATCGGAAGAAATACAGGTTGGAATACAACAATGGGATCATGCTGTAACACGGTAATGGAGGGGGTCCTCAGTACCCCACTTTACAGTGTAGACAGGTCATCCAGGGAGACAACAAATAGACACTCACTGAAATTACGCCGCACTCTAACTGAGACCTAACGGATGACTGCAGAACATTCCATAGAGAGCCAGAACACCTTTCTTCTCTATGGAGTGGGGAACAATGCTTAGAAATTATATTTATGTGGTCAAGATATGAGGGCTTTCATTACAAAATGGACCATATTTCTCAGATTTTCTTGACTGAACTTTTCTCTCTTTCTTGCTGTACCCCATATTCCTGTCTAGAATTCCCTTCATTAAATTCTGTGTGTGCATGTGTGCGTGTGTATGTATGTACATTTGCTAACATTTGCTAGTTTTTAAAAAAATTAGTTGAGCGCTTCATACAATATATTTTGGCCATATTCACACTCGTGACTCTAACTTGGAGCCTTCCTCCACCCCGGCCCCTTCCATATCGGTTTGTTCTGTCCACATATTTTTGCATCTGTGGTCTTCCACTAGAATGTGGTTGACTTTCCAGGGGCCACACTGTAGAGAAAACTGTCTCTCCCTCTCTCAGCAGCTAAAACCTGCCATTTGCCTGATGGCTTGGGTGAACTCACATGCCGACACCATTTCCCATGCTGGGCTTTGGTCTGGCGTGGACTTACACAGGTTTTGTGTCTGTTGTGAGTTCATACATGCACTGCCACGCTTTGTCCACTGCTCTGCCGTGACACTGTTTCCCTGTAGTCATCCGCCACCTCTGTCACTCACACTTTTTCTGTCCCCTCTTCCACAGTGATCTCAGAGATTCTGGGGGGTGGTGAACTATATATGTTCCCTTTAGGGGTGAGCATTCTGTAGTCTCTTATTCCCTGCACACTGACCAGTTACGGGTCTCTGTGTTAATCGCCATCTACTGCAAATAGAATCTTCTCTGATGAGGGTTGAAGAATACGTTGATCTATGGCCACAACAATAAGTCTACTTTGAGATTTTATCTCACCTGACTCAGAGTGGCTAAGAAAAAAAAACATGAATAATGACAAATGCTGAAAAGAATGTGGAGAAAGGATAATATTTATTCACTGCTGCTAGAAAGGCATATTGGTCCGACCACTGTGGAAATCACCGTGGATGTTCCTCAAAAAGCTAAAACTAGGTCTTTCATATGACCCAGCTATACCAATCTTGGTTATATACTTAAAGGACTCCAGAGAGTCCTGCTCTAGAGATACTTGCTCATCCATGTTCATTGATGCTCTGATACCCAGGAAATGGAAACAGTCTAGATATCCAACTGATGAATGGATAATGAAATGTGGTACATGCTCACAGTGGAACCTTATTGACCTGTTTGAGATGAAATCATAAAATCCTAAAGTTAGGTGCCTGGAGTTGGAAACAGTCACTCCAAGTGAGGCCATTAAGATCCAGCAAGACAAATGGCACATGTTTCCTCTCATCTAAAGACATTAGCTTTCAATTTTCATAATGTATGTTTCATTTGGAATAACCATAGACATCAAGACATGACCAACAGGCCCTGAGGAGGGCTGTCCAAGGGAGGGGAGACAGGCTGCGCTGGTAAACGTAAAGGGGAATAACAGAAGAGGAAGGGTTAAGCTGGGTCAGAAGTGGACGGTAGGATAGAGTGTGGAGTACAGGAGAGGCCAATAACACTAAAGACCTTTCAAAAATGACCATTTCTGGAGCTCACCTCGGGGAAGCTGCAGAAAGGGGAACCCAACCACCTGCAGGAGCCTAGGCAGCTGAAGGAGGATCTAGGGCTCTGTTCTGGGGAGACCTAGCTCTTCCTGACTGCCCATTCTTCAGAAGCACACAACATGTTATTTGGGGTAGATCATATGTTAGGCCACAGGATCAAACAATATGAAATCACCTTCTGTCAATATATCATGAAATAACAACAGAAAAAATTATGTAGCCAGCCAGTACCCGAAGAACCAGTGTATCGATGAAGAAATTGAGATCCAATTAAAAGCATCATGTGACAAATAAAAAGGGAAACACAAAATATCCAAACCTACAGGCCACAGACAAAGCAGTGCTAAGAGATAAAATGTATTAAGTGTCCAAACTCAAACAGCAGGAAGATCTTAAGTAAAGGACTAGCATTCCTCATGAGCAATTAGAACAAGACAAGCTACCACAAGCTGGTAGAAAAGATATAATTATGCAATAACAAATAGATTATTTAGAAGGAATGGGCACATTTCTGGAGATCTGAAATGAATCAATAATTCATCAAAAAGTAGGAAATCTTAACAGACCAAAAATGAATCAGAATACTGACTTGGTATTAAAATTTCAATTAAAAAAATCTAGAACCTAATGACTACTGTTGAATTCAGTGAACTAGCAAAAGAAGTAACACTAATGTTTCCGATCTTCCAGAAACACTAAAGAAGGGATATTTCCAAATAATTTTTGTGAGATTAGCATTTCCTGGCAAAGGCATTACAAGAAAAGAAAATTGCAGGCTAGTGTCTTTACAAACACAGATGTAACAACAATCAGCAATATGACAGCAAGCTAAATTCAATGCTACATGTAAAGGATCATACACCATGATCAATTGGGATGGGACCTCTGAATACAAGAGTGGTTCACCACAGGCCAGTCACTATCATATACCACAGTGATAAATCACCACAGGCACCAGTCACTGTCACATACCACGGTGACAAAATGAAGGATGAAAACATTGTTGCTTTGTTGCATGGAGAAAAACATTTGGACAAAATTCAAAACACTTTCCTGATAAAAACCCCTCACCAAATTAGGTACAGAGCAATACATCTTAACATACCAAAGGCAACACTTACTCAACAGAGAAAACTGGAAAGCCTTGTCTCTATGATCTGGAACAAGATGGGACGCCCTACTTTTTCCACTTCTACTTACAGGGCTGGAATTGTCAAGAGCAATCAGACAAGAAAAAGAAGAAAACCAAAGCACAAAGGAAGATGTCAGTCACTCTGGTGTGATGATTGCAGGAAACCTCCACTCTAAAGTCATTGCAAGCAGTAAATAAACAGAGCACAAAATCAACACACGAAAATCTGTGAAAGAATTACTTTTACTTTTGCAGATTATTGTTACTGTAAGAGAAATTGAATCAGGGACTGCGAAGATGACTCAGTGGTGGCTGCTCTTCCAGAGGACCTGGGGTTGAGCCACAACCATCCCTAACTCCAGTCTCAGGAATCCAATGTCCTCTTACGTTCATTAATACCATGCAAACACGTGGTTCACAGACGCACATGCAGGCAAAACACACACAGAAAATCAAAATAGGTCTCAGGATCTAAAAGAAATCTAAATAACAATCCCGTTTGCAGTTGCTTTTGGGGAAAATGTGTAGGAATAAATTTAACTAAGATTGATGGAGGAGGGTCATCTGTCTATGTGTTACTTTTATTGGTTAATAAAGAAACTGCCTTGGCCCTTTGATAGGACAGAAAATTAGGTAGGCGGAGTAAACAGAACAGGATGCTGGGAAGAAGGCAATGAGGCAGTCGCCATGACTTTCCTCTCCGAGACAGACGCAGGTTAGGATCTTTCCCAGTAAGTTACCACCTCATACATAAGGTAAGAGATTAAAAAAAGACATTCTGGGAAGCATAAAACATTGAAAGAAATTAAAAATAAAACAGATTAATAGAAAGGTACCCCATGTTCATCGATTAGAAAAATATTGTGAAATGCTTGTATAACCCAAATCAATCTATAAATTTAATGCAACTCTTTCAAAATTTCACGATCATTTTCATAGAAATTGAAAAATGATTAATATTGATATTAATATTAATTTTAATATTAATTAATATTAACAGTAATATTGATGTGGGGGCAGAAAAAATAGCAAAGGTAATCACGGGCAAAAAGAACAGAACTCAGAGCATTACACTGTATGTAAGTACGTTACAAAACTGAAATTATTAAAAATCACATGATATTTGCATTAAAATATACATAGAGAGACCACTGTAAAAGTATGGAGACATGAGAAGCAAATCCACATGTGTATAGACAACTTTCAATGAAGAGCAACGAGTAAAGTGAGAAAAGGAGAGCCTTCAAAAATGAGTGCCAAGAGAACTAGATGGTACTATGAACACAAGAAGAACTGCCTCCTCGTCTTTTAGGAAGCATTCATTGGTTAGGATGGGTGTTTTTGTTTATTTGTTTGTTTTGGATTCCCAAGTTCTGGGATTATAGGCACGCACCAACACACCCTGATCTCTTTAGGAACTACTTTCTAGCTCATCTGTCACATGTACTGATGATACTTCAGGTTTTATCCCACAGAAAATGTGAAAAAAAAATCTTTGAATTTCAAATGTTATATAAGTCTTAGTTAACTATAATGTTTGATGCCTACCGGTTGGACAATGCAAACTGTTGAGTGTCACTTCATTCTCTAGACCTTCAGGCTGTAGGTAAAAAAAAGAAAAGTTAATACGAAATGCATTGACCTTAAGGATATGTGTGTTGTTGTTTCAGGACAGAGATCCTTATAGTTAAGGGAAGGATTTATGCATTATATACATCTATAAATAAATAAATACAAATGAATGAAGATTAATGCAGTTAATTAAAGAGAAAAAATTATGACAATAAATGATAAGTAGACAAACAGATAGATAAATGGATGAATGGGTGATGAACAGAGAGATGAAAATGTGGTGAAACATACATATATTAGTGCTATTACAGTAGCTACATATTTATGTTATTATGAAGCTTAGTATGCACTGTGCATTATTTAATATTAGAAGAAGAAATTGAAGAGTTGAAGAGTTGAAACCCTAAAAAGAGTCAGACCCCTAACTGATTCCACTCTTCTGTGACTCAGTGTGTTCTCTCAGAGAGACAGGTTTGCTTACTTCAACCAACACGGACTTGATGATTGTGTCTTTCTTTCCACGTTCAGGGACCACTGGTACCTCATTCCCACAAAGCTTCAGAGAGTTGAGAGCCTCTGCACTCACAGTGAATTTCACATTTCCTTGCAGGAAAAAAAAAGTCAAGTAGAGATGAGTACATTTCCCCTTCCTCCATGCTACCAAGCTTAGAATTTACAAGGGTTTGCCTTAGATTAGTAAAAACAAGGGACCTGAAGTGGAAGCAACATTTACTAGAGGCCAGTGACACTAGAGGTAGAGGTGAGGAACTGAGGGTCCCTTGCACCCTTATCTTATAAGAAAAGACTTCTTTTTGCTGTGGTTGGTGTTTTATTTTATTTGTGATGTGGGCAAGACTGACCTTGAACTCATGATTGGACCTGACTGGCCTTGAACTCATGAATGACCCTGACTGGCCTTGAACTCCTGATTGACCCTGTTTGGTCTTGAACTCGTGGTTGACCCTGTCTCACCCTTCTAAGGGTTGGCCTGAAGGTGTGCACCAGTAAACCTGGCAGTGTTTGGCATTCTGGAATGCAAGTCAAAGAAAATCAGTCCTCCTGCCTGGGGGGTCTTTGTCTGGGAAAAAGAGCATGGTTTCCACTGTGACTCCTGATCCTCTGGGACTCCCAGCTCACCTAATGACTTTGGAGTTACTACCCAGGACACATTGTGACGCTCGTTCAAACAGATGCAGTGAGACTTTTGCTGCTTCTCCACCGGGGCAGTTAGGAAATCAGGAGACGCCTCCAGCTGCACAACAACCTGGAAACACACAAGAAGCAAAATTAAAGTTAGGGAGACCAAGTTTAAACTGAAGCATACTTGAAGATGGTTAGATTTCATGTTGCCTGACATCAACGAGGCAGGTAAAGATGCAGGGCTGTGCTGCCTTCATTAGCACCTCACAGATGAACCTCAGTCCTTGGAGGATTGCTTGGTCTTATAAGTGGTGAAGTCAGAAGAAAGATAACGAAGGGCTATTGGCCTGGGTGAGCGCTCTTTCTGGGACTCATGCATGGCTACTCCCCAGCTCAGTCACTACATAAAAGTTTTGAAGTAGTTATGGTTTGGGCAGAGGCAAGATGTACAAAACAGCTTTTTAAATGAAACTGTATAATGAGCACACTAAGAACTAACATGTAAGAACACAGAAGCTGAATGCACAAACTCTAAAACATGAGACAGGGTAGGGCCATGCTTGCTGGGGTCAGAAATCTTTCTATTGTACGAACGACTTGACCTTAAAGGATTGTGATCAATGTCAGAAACTTGTCTTTGTCGGTTGATTCTTAGAGATACCCATTTTCATAACCTATGAATACATGCATGACAGTTTTTTCTATTGACCATATTTGTAGACAAGGCATAGGTTTACTTTTTTTTTTTTTTTAACTTTTTGGCATTTCTAAGACTACAACTTTCAGCCAGGTGGTGTACGCCTTTAATCCCAGCACTTGGGAGGCAGAGGCAGGTGAATCTCTGTGAGTTCAAGGCCAACCTAGTTTACAGAGCAAGTTCCAGGACAGGCAGCAAACAGTGAAACCCTGTGTCAAAAAAAAAAAACAAAACCCACAAAAACCAAAACCAAAACCAAAAAAAACAAAAGCAAAACAAAACAAAACTAAAGAATGTAACTTTCTTTTAATCTGCTTGTGCTTAATTGAGAAAGTAAATCTCTACCCGGATGCAGTTTTGGAGGTAGTTCAGCACAGTGGCCTTGAGCGTGAAGGCTTCTCCACGGATCACGGAGTAGGGCATCGTGAGCTCCACGAAGAAGGGCTGGAAGGCTTGGAAAGACACCACAGGAGAGAGGCCAAGTCCAGTGTCATTGGACAGGCAGAGGGCTCCAGCCTTCCACTCAGTGATGGAGTCAGGGACTGTCAGCTCCTTTTCAGTTATTCCTGTTGAGCTGCGGGCGGGGGGGGGGGGGGATGTGAAGTGAAGGAGGTGAGCAGCTAAATAAATCCCCTTTAGAAAGAGAGCCCTGTAATGTAAGTTAAGTGGCCATAACTTAAATGCGCTCACTAGAAGTATTGGTAATTGAAGAGCAAAGCCAAGACTCCCTGTGGGGAAATGGTGGATTTTCTTCTGTCTTCAATTAAGTCCATTTTGCAATTATCTCCTGATAACTAGGTCTAATCTCTTACAGAAAAACATAGTTGTAAACTGTGCATGGAATTGATATTTTTCTCAATTTCTGATACAAAACCTGATCCCACTCGGGTGGTCTACAGATCTCACTTCTGCCACTACTGTGTTTGTTTGGCCAGAAATATTCTAAGCTTGACTTTCCTTGCTTATCAGTAAAGGAGCAGATTGTTTTTTAATATGTATGGTACTTGCTTACATTTGATCTTTATGCTCATACTTTTAGAACCTTATAATTTAAATCTTCTAGAAAAGTCTTGCTTCTGACTCAAAAGATATAGGTAACACGGTAAGGTCTCCCAAAAACAGGGATGGGACTTCCAGGTGGGAACTGAAAACTGAGGTAAGAGTTTTTAGGTGCTCGTAGAAGAGATTCATTTAGCCTCATTGCTCTCTGAGAGTTGGACTCCTCATTAGCCCACTGCAGAGAAAGGGAGGTCTCCCAGAAGACTGAGAAAAGCCTGGATAGAAAGGTAGGCATTTCCTACTACTCTACCCAGGTTTTTGCTTTGGTGACAAAATTAGTTCCTGGCTTCTCCTGGAAGGAATTTGTCAATGTATCAGGTATCTCAGCTTTTGTAGTTCTCTCTACGGGTCTGGTCTGCCCCCTAAATCACCCATCTCGGGAAAAGAATGCTGCTTGCTTGCATTCTCAAGATCTCTGACTCCATGGAGAACAAAGAGAAAATGTGCCATGGATGTGTGCTTTTGACCAGTGCCTTTCTCCCAGGGCTCAGCACAAAGAGAGAAGGTGACAAGCATCCAGCTCCTAGTTTTGGCCTGGAATAACTTTAGCCACACTCATTGACACTGTTTTCTCCAAGGGTCAGCCCTGTAATGAACTCATAGTCTTCTGGGAACCCACACAGCTGCATGGGCCTTTTCTATGGCTCCTTCTGCTGTTCTGGATGGCTTCAGACATAGAGCAAAGTGTCCCAAACAGCTCGCCTGTCTCTGGAAGCAAGAGGACAAGGTTGGCCCCCGGACATAGGGACTGAAAGGATGAACAGAAACATGTGCTATACGAACAAGAGTGGAGCCATTGTCACAGACCCTCTCCTCGACTTTGCACGGTGTGAACCCGGTTCCTGAGCTCTCCAAGAGGAACGAAGGATTGGTACTGTAAGACTTTAAGACAATTCAGAAGCCATTTCTGAACCCTCTCAGCCTTCGTGCCTTAGTCCTTCCCTCCTCCCCTGGGAACCAAGGACCTAACAGCTACACATGCATGTACTCAGTTCCTGAACAATTACCCACACACGTATGTTTTGACTCAGTCCCCTGGGAAACGGGGTTAAAATGACCTCTTAACTCATCTGATCTGACAATAGTTCTCCAGTCAATTATTGGTATTAGCCCTTTCCGAATAAGCCAATCATAATGGTCAAGGAACAACCCCTCTTGTTTCTATGGGGCCTTCTCCTTTAAAAGTAGATTGTACCAGCTAGTCGGAGTCTCTAGGCTTCCCGAATGCTGAGGGACCCTGTCATGACAGAATTAATAAAATCCTCATGCTTTAGTATCGGCTGTGGTATATGTGGTGGTCTCTGGGGGCGACCCCTTCTCTGCTTGGACACTAGAGTCCAACAGTACAAACATTTAACATGCAAACGGTTTCCAGTCTTGTCTTAGTGGGTAAGTTTCCATCTCATCTGTCTTGAGGAGCCGACAGATCTTGGCAACTGCTAAGTTCCTGGTGACCACAGTGACAAGTAGGTGGTGCGAACAAGCACAAAGAACCAAGAAGCATCTAGAATCTCTGGCTTGGCTGACTGGTGAGGTGCCTCTTAAATACTGGGAGATCCCAGTATTTCACGTTCAACCAAAGCCACAATGCGCAGACAAATCCCATGAAGCAATAATAAACTTGAAAAACAATCAACCAAACAGACCTATCTAGAACTTTCAAGGACAATAACAGGCTGAAGTTCCCTCAAGCACTCAGTGGGTACTCTCCAGGGTAGATCACAGGCTGGGTCAAGAAACAAGTCTCAACCATGTTAAAAAGCACAAAATAATTTTATGTATCGTTTCTGATGAGATTGCTTCATTCCTCAATTGCCTTAATTTAAGGAGGAATTAATATCAGCCTTTTAAAGACATAAAAAATGGAAATAGAGACCAATCTCAATCAGATAGCCAAGCTGGATGAGACGCCCACAAGAAAATCAGTCTGTAAGCCAATATCTTAAATAAACCAAAGCACAATCCCTAGTAGAATAATAGCTAACTGAGCCCCATGGGACATTAAAGAGATGATACAGTGAGCCTGAATGAGAAACGCCATCAGTGCTGTGCACCACATTAGCTGATGAGAGAGTAGAACCCATGTGATTACCTTAACAGGTACAGAACAAAAAGACAACATCCCTTCCTGATGGTACAGCAGGAAATTCTCTCCAGGTAACACAGACTGCTTCTGAGAGCCCCTGACACTGTACCCAGTGGGACAAACCTGAAAGTTCTGCCTATAATATCCAGCATAAGACCAGGAGCCCCTTCCCACTCTTGTTCAACTGAGTACTGTCGAGAATAATTAATTAGAGGGGGGAGAGAAGTCAAGAGTATCCAGGCTGGAAACGACGAAGATCATTCCTGTTTACAGATTAGCTGGTCCCAAATGAAGAAAATCTCAAATGTTCATTAAAAAAACACAAAACTAATCAATAAACTCAACGATGCTGTTCGATACAAAATCAATATATGAAAGTATGTTTGCACTTCTAGACCAGTAACAAGCTATCTGGAAAATAAATAAAGATAATGATCCCATTTATGATAAAAATAAATACTTAGAAATCAATTTAGCCTGGGAAGCTTCTACATCGCTCAACCGTAGGGATGCAGCCACAGCGAAAGTGAGACACATGTTACACAATCCTCAATAGATACATTAAGAAGGGGAAACCCACTATGGTTGAAAAACTGTCATGGATCTATATTTCTGCATCTTACATAAAAGTAGTTACTTACTCCACGACCACCAAGTCCCAGATCCATGTCTCAGGGAAGTATTTTCGTATAGTCTCCTTGGGAGACTCAGAACCCTTTAGGAAATTCTCCGTGGGGCTTTGGCTTAAGAGCTGGTATGCAGCTGGTTCTGTGGTAGGAGAGGGGAGACGGGGCAATAAATGCAGAGTGAGGTCAGGAGACGTTGTGTTACCAAAGCGCCAACACAGAAAGATCGGGAAGGACACATGGACAACCAGGAGGGCTTCTCAGAGAAAGTGGCATTTCACCCCAATTCTGAGGCACTAGAACAAACTGAACCAGGGGAAGAAAGTCCCAAGCATGGAATAAAAGAAACACGGCAGAAAGCCTTGGATTGTATACAAAAGGGAGGGAGGGCCTTGTGGAATCCCAGGAAGCTATTGCCCGTTGTGCCCAATGAAGAGACCTAGGGTGCCGGGGGGGGGGGGGGGGGGGGCAGAAACCTTGTTGTTGTTGACATGTTCGTCTGTGGGAGCAAATTAAAAAGATATGGTAGCAGTTTTGAGAAAGAGTTTACAGCAATGGAGGAAGCAGGGCTAAGAAAGCTCTGTCTTCCATAGTGAGTCCGAATGTCGGTCAACTCTCCCATACCATGAACATTTGACAGCCACTCCCTTTAGGGAGATGTACGCAGATGGACATACTGGTAGACAGTAGATACACGGTCAGATCATACATCTATATTGCCTATAAATCCTAATAATAAAGGAGTCTACAATTCATAAATAAAGACATCCAATTCTCTGTCGTAAATGTCACACAGAAAATGAATTCTCATGGAATGTTTTCCTAGACGCTTCCTTTTCTCCGTACTTAACACGACCAGTCACTAGTTAACAATATAATACTAAACGCATGCTGCCCGCTGTGGCTCGGCAAAGACCCAGCTGGCATCACCAAGCACAGCCAAGAGTCTTCACTGATACTTTAGGGCCGTCGAGCAACGTCTTTGCTTGACCGAGAGAAGGCAGTCTGCTTAGCTGAGCTCCTGGACACCATCCCTTTTCCTTCCGCTCCCTCATCTCTATCGGCAAAGACAGACAAGTTCTTGGTGGCTGATCTCCTGGCTCCTCAGAGCCCTTCCTTTCTTTACTTTGTGCCTGCATTGGATCTGCACTTCTCTTAGGCCGCTGGTGACAATCGGCCTCCCATGCTCGGCACTTGGTGGAGGGGTGACAGACTCAGACTTGAGCTTATATCGTTATGAACATTATGCAATGGACTTTATACGTCCGAATAAAGTCTTTTGTTAATTTTGATCACATTTTGTTTTTAAAAATTTATCTTGTTTGGTTCAGTGTTTTCAGCACTAACCTCCTCTGCTGTTTCCGGACCGTCCACAGACCTTGGGTTTACGGATATCTGAGTTGGTGAATACCTTCAACCCCATGTCCTATAAAGGAGATGATCAGCTGATCAATGCACATACACACGTCCTTTCATCTGAATTAAACTTCCCATGTGTGTATTTAAATCAGGAACATTAGCATGCTCGTGGGAGCATTAACACGCTCGTGGTGTTAGTTTTGTCCCTTAAACTCCCCCGACAGTCATGATTTTATACATGATACTTAGAAATATCACAAAGCAATAAATTTCAATAAAAGAAAACATTATTAGTCATTAACATTGGTCCTGAAGTCGCTGCATTCAGCAGATCTGCTCCTGCTGGTGAGTTCGGAGATGTCACTTGGTTCCTTTATTCTGTTAGTTCCAACAGTGACAAGAAGACACTTTTTCACACCGGATACTTTAAGAGCCTTCAGAACTGTCTCCAAGGTGAGGAGTTTACCTTTAGGAAGCCATACATGTCCTCTTCATTAGTATTCCGTGCCGGGGAATACAGGATGCCGTTAATGTAGACGCTGTTATGCTTGATACAGTCTTTGCTGTCTTCCTCCTCCAGATTCGCACCCTCAGGGTAGCCAGTGAGGTCTTTCACCGGAAGCAGATCATAAATCTGCAGAAATGCAAGCAGGTGGGGCTAGCTTGATGTGGCTTTTTATTAAAACAAAACAAAACAAAACACACAACCAAGAGCATCAATACCAACTTTCCCTTGAGCACTGAGATATGCCTTAATGATGGAGAGACAGAGTTGTGCAGTGGGTGGCACAACATTTAGGGAAGGAAGAACAAAGTGACATTTCTGTCACCACCAGTTAGCAACAGACTCTGCATAGAATGAAGGACACATGTCTCAGACAGAGCAAGTACTGTAAACATCCTCCGTGTGGGAGGGAACAGAGACAAAATGCTCCAGGTCATCATGCATGATGACCTCTACGGGCTGACCTCTGACCTTCTGGGGCTGGCCTCTGACCTTCTGGACACAATGGCTTCAATACATTCAGGGAAGAGAAGTAAAATAGACACCCAGTGCTGAGAGATGCACAGTTGTGCTTTCAAGGAGAAGAGTCTAGTCTAGGAAAGACTAGACTGGGAGTGTGGGATCATCCTCACAAGCCACTCCTCCCCAGCCCCGCCCCCGGAACTTTCTGCCCCTGCTTTGATTTTCTCCAAAACATGGCTTGTCCATTTCAGTTACGAGAATGTAAATTCTGTAGGACACAAATATCTGACTTTTCATAGCTCCCAACCAGGTCCCAGCACTTATACAGCCCGAGAACACAGTAGGTGTTAAGAGTGTGCTCAGTGAATGATCACCAGGTAAAACTGTTTTATTAGTAAAATACTAACAAAGGCTTGAAAGGAGCTCGAGTCCTGTTACAAAGGCCCAAACGCTCCTTCTTGACGATTAGAAGCACTAGCTGTCTACTCTCTGTGTCCGTCAGCCCTGCTGTCCTTTCGGAGCTCTGACAAGAACAAAAATCACATCACACATACACAAACCAGGCCTATTGTTCTGCTTATTGAAATACACTTAAGATGTCCTTTAAATATATATTTTAACACTTTCTATTAAAATACCACTTTAAAAGACAAAGCAGTGTGGACTGATGAAATGGCTCAGCGGGTGTGTCTGCCACGCAAGCCCGAGGGCCCGAGTTCAGTCCCCAGAGCACAGCAAGGACAGAGCTGACACTTGAAAGTTGTTCTTGGCCTGTGATCCATTCTGTAGCATTCACACATCCACACATGTCATACACATACAGCAGTAACATAAAGTAAAAATTAAAGACCAAGAAGCTATATTTTCTTCTACTTCTACTTTTACTTCCTTTTTAAAATCTTGTTTGCTTGTTTGTTTGGGACAGGGTCTCTCTATGTGGTCTTGGTTGTCCCGGAATTTGCTGTATAGACCAGGCTGACCTTGAACTCACAGAGATCCTCTTGGCTCTGTCTCCTGAGTGCTGAGATTAAAGGTGCACACCACACTGCCCTTTTTAAAGTGTGTGTGTGTGTGTGTGTGTGTGTGTGTGTGTGTGTCCGTGTTTATGGTGTCTGTATCTGTGTCTGCGTGGAAGTCAGAGAGCAGCCTATGGGAGTGATTCTGTCCTTCCACCATGTGGGCTTGGGGATTGAACACAAATTGTCAGACCTGGCAGCAAGTTCCTTTACTCACTGAGCATTCTCAACACTACACTTACATTATTATTGAAGTAAAAATCTATTATTTTCTTTCGTAAGCTTCCATAAATACTTCAGCAAGAACATATTCCTGTTGGCCTCCTCTTAAATGGGAAGCCTTGAGCCAACTACAGCTGCACACTCCAGTGAGTGGCTCTAGGCAATGGTGCGCCCTTTGTTACGTCCTGCTTTCAAATGTTTTATTTCTCAATGTCTCTTATCATTCAATGATTTATATTCTTGTTTTTAATTCATCAGTACATATCTTTTCAGCAATGATGTTCACTTTGTGATGTCCCTTATTTTAGTGAACACCATCCTTATGAAAACGAAAATCTGAAATATTATTGCGCTCATGCAGCCTCAGTGTAGGCACATAGACCACCCAGACCTGATGTAGGAGGATCTTCTATCTATCTGTTGCTTTCATTGGTTAATCAATAAAGAAACTGCTTGGCCTGATAGGTCAGAACATAGGTGGGTGGAGAAGACAGAACAGAATTGTGGGAGAAAGAAAGCAGAGGCAGGCAGACGCGATGAAGCTCCAGCCCAAGATGGACGTAGATTAGAATCTTCCTGGTAAGCCACCACCTCGTGGTGACACACACATTATTAGAAATGGGCTAATCAAGATGTGAGAGTTAGCCAGTAAGAGGCTAGAGCTAATGGGCCAGGCAGTGTTTAAATGGATACAATTTGTGTGTTGTTATTTCGGGTGAAAGGCTAACCATGCGGGAGCAGGGCGGGACAAAACCAGGCCTGCTTGACTCATCGCTACACAGACCTGCCTCATGAGGTAATGATCTTCATTAAGCTTCCCACAATGCTAAAACTAGTTTGAAAACAAATGTCATTGATTTGGCAGAGATGGGTTCCAGGCACTCAGCTTTCTTTTTACACAAATATACTTTATCATGACCTTCCTGGTTCTACAGTCAGAAGTAATCCATTTTTAGTTTACACATCTGTAGCTGTCTTGTAGGACTTTTGCAGCCTGTTTTGTACGCTCCCCAGCACTGCTGAGCACGGTGGCTCAACACAGTCCCAGCTGGATTCACAGAATCTTGAGTCTTTCTGGCTAATTTCTATTGTGTTTTTACACTTTCAAAACACTGATAGATTTTCAGGTTGAATATACTGAGCAAAACACTTGCTTTTTTTTTTTTCCACTCGCAGAAGCTGGGAGTGTGATGAGGAAACAGAAAGTAGGAGAGATTGTGTGCAAGCATCTTCCTCACTGAGCAAAGGGCCTGTCAAAGACTTCAAAACTATTAACCTATAGGGAACTGTAGTTGTTTTTGTGCTTTTATTTACTCTTTGAGAATTTCTTGTAATAGATTTCGATCATATTCTTTCCCTTCCCTCAGCCTCACCATAGTTTCAATAGGTCTTACATTGCTCGGGCATTTCTCCTTGCTTCAAGGCCCTCACACCACATGGTTGTCTCTCATCTGCAAGGCCGCCAAGGACTCACCAAGGATGCAGAGAGCTCAGCCTTGGGCTTCATGAGCAGCACACTTTGGTCCACAGCTCGTAGGGCACAGAGGGACTGAGGAGAAGCTGTGACTTTGAGGAAGGTCCCACTGGCCGGAAGGCCGTTAGTTGGACTGAAGCTCAAATCCACCTAGCATATAATAAAGAAAGTTCAGAAAAACCAAATTTTGTATGTTCCACCCGGAGTCACTTACATTTCCTAGGTGTTCCTCATCTCCAGCATGTAACAACTTTGGTTGCTTTCCCAGTGGTTGGTATTACCCTACGTGAGAAAGGCTTTGTCTCGCCTTGGAATTTGCTCTGTCTCAAGATTGATTAGACCACTGTAATGGTCTCTACAGATACTTCTAAATGGTCAGTTTTGAAGTGTCAGTCCTATATCTCAGATATACAGTGAAAGCTCATTAACTCTGGATTTGTGGCCCGCAAAAAGCTCTAAGCGTTTTTGTTCAGGCTTCGTGTGGCTTTTAAACTTGCTTGCATACTTGCTCATATTCCATCACAGAGAGGGGAAGAAGGCATTGAGAGCTAGGCCATACATACAGAGAATTCTGAAAACGAGGCAATAACACAATTTCTTAATGTGACTCTGCTGTAACCTCGTAGGACATTGCTGGGACAATCCACACATGTATAAAAAGAATGGCTAACAACAGGGACTGCTAGTCCTAAATGTGGAAATTTGATTATAGGCAGCACCCACCTTATTGGCCAGACAGTTTCCAATCTCATATTTGGCAGTATCTGCAACCATTTCACCGCCAGGCAGAATGATATAAAGGAGCAATCGAGCCAAAGGAGCCAGGTCTGACTCCACTGGGATCAGTATGGAGAAATGACCTTTCTCTGGAGCAGAGAGAATGAGAGGTGGCAACCATGGGTTAGACACATTCAGAGTGAAAATGGGAGTCACTTCATCATGCAGAGCTACTGTGAGCCCCTGGCCTAGCCAAGGACAGCTCCGATTAGTGGACTTGACCAACAGTACACATAACAAATGCATGGCTACCTCGTAGAACCCTGACTCTGGAGAAACAGTTACGTGAAATCCTCTCTCCTATATAAATCACTTTTTTTTTCTTATCACTTTTGAGCTTTAGCTGGCTGACCCTAACCTCAAATGCTACCTAAGGGAGCGGAGGTATCAACTTCACCATCATTTATTCTTGGTTCCTCTTGGTAGGAGAGAAAGGAAGTCATGAGGCCTGATGCTAAGAGGTTAACACACTGTATCTATGTCCTCTTGCCCTCTGTGAAACATATAGTGGTGTCCTTTTCTCCAACGGAGGAAGCCTACACTCCCCCAGAGGCCGGCTTTGATGCCTTTGGATGCTGTCGTGTCTGCATTAAATGTTCTTGTGTCAGTTGCAATGCCTCCATTTTGGCACCAAAAGAGAAAAAGGTGCTTGCTCATAGTTCTCTAGTAAATCAATGTTTAGACCCCATTAGAACAGGGGAGCCTTCAGATGTTTATTGTTCTATTTTTCCTGAGCAGAGTCCCATTGCAAGCTAGAAATGCCCAAGTAAACTTTGGTAAACCATTACTAAGTTCAGGGGAGAAGCGCACACACACACACACACACACACACACACACACACACACACACACCCGGCAGGGAGGGAGGGAGGCAGAGAGAAAAGTGTGTGGGGAGAGAGAGAGAGAGAGAGAGAGAGAGAGAGAGATTAGCACAAAACCTGCTAAGTAGAAAGCACTCAAAGTTTACACAACTCTCGAATGTCCTTCACAATGAAATATCAGCCCACAGATAATTCTGGCTGGAAATTCTGAAATAGCTACAATATGTTCATGACCCTATCACCAGCTTAAGGAACCCAAGTAAAATATACTGGAAAAAAAGAAACTATTTGATAAAGAATGTCAAAAAGGACATTGCCTTTCTCCCTGACTTCCTCTTTGTTGTGACTTGATGAGGGAGAGACCCTTTGGGAGCATCCCTGACAGGCAGTGAGGCTGGGTGGTCAGCATGGAGTAGAACTGTGGAGATAATACCATACTCACTGTCTCCCTGCTCCACAGGCAGTGTGTGAGTCCCCGATCGGATAATGCCTCCCTTTGCCATTATCTGCAAAACAGGAAATTACAATTTTTCCAACAGAGACCTTATCCTAGCTTCCAATCTACAGGCTTGTCTTATTGAGCCCCTGCTGAAAGTAATTAGCCCCATGAGAAGTTGAGCTTTAGAAAGAAACAAGAGTAAGAAGCCAGGGGCTGGAAAGAAAGCTCAGCAGTCTAAAGATGTGCGACTCTTCTAAAGGACCCAAATTCCACTCCCAGTAGCATTCTGGGTAGCTCACAACCGCCTGTAACTCTATCTGTAGGGGACTGGATGTTCTTTTCTGGCCTCCACAGACACTCACACACATGGCATACAGTCACGGGTTCACATGTACATGGAAACAATGAGCATTCAAAGGAAGGTAACACCATGATGTCCACAGAGAGCGTTGTCTGTAGGCAGTAACGCAGTAACCTCCCTTCTCACCAGGTAGTAGAAGACCAGCTCCGTCAGCTCCTGCACACCCTCTCCGTTGAGAATATAATGTGCCTGGACCTGTTGTGTTTGCTCACAGGACAGTTTACTAGGCGCGGATTCCAGGTGCACAAAGCTTTTGCTTGGCGAGAAAACCGCGTTGGCTGTGTGCCATGCCTCCACATGCTCTCCTGTCAACCATCTGAATCCATAGCACATGAGGCTGTCCTTGTATTTGGCCTAGGGAATTAGAGAAACAGTGTTATGCCACCAGATAGTATGCCATTGTCCTCACCACGCTCTGGAAGTTTGCTACCCCTCCTTAAATGTAGTCAGAAGTCTTTCCCTCTAGAGTAGAAGTAAGAGAAGCCCTTATTTTATCTGCCTTGTGTACAGAGGCACGGTTGTGACTTTCCACCACAGAACACCCTGAGTTTGATATTTACGTGTGAGAAGAGAGTGCCAAGAGCTGTGTGTCTTGCGACCCTTTGCTGCTTTACCATGAGCTACAAAACCTCACCAGGGAGATTAAACACCAGTATCTGCTTCTCAAAGTAGTCGCATGTTTGGAATCAATTTTAACTGGGTTTTAGGAATAAATGAAATAGTGTAACCTTAGGGATTTGAGAAACATGACCGCAAAAATCACTGGCGAGAGCTGAGTTGGAGAGATATCTCTCCCAGGCCTATCTCAGGTGTGTGATGAATGCATTCTATAGTTCTGAATTTCAGAGCATCTAATTCAGATTGAATATCCTATTTTTTAACATAAACATTAAAAAATATTTAAAAGAAAGCTGAGTCGTGGTGGTACACACTTCTAAACCAGCACTCGGGAGGCAGAGGCAGGTGGATCTCTGTGAGTTTGAGGCCAGCCTGCTCTACAGAGTGAGTTCCAGGACAGCCAGGACTACACAATAGAAAAGAAATATTTTATTATTTTTTATGATAAAAACATTAAAATACTTCCCTTTAGCTTTTCGAAATATGCATTACGTGATCATTAGCTATGATCATGCAACTGGGCAGCAGGGCAATCAATAATATACGTAACAGTGAGACTGCTAAATTTTATAGACACCCCCAGTTGTTTTTACTTTAATGTACTTTTTTTAGAGAAACCGGAATAATATTTTTCCACAGTGTATGCACCATCTGACAAAGCAGAGCACCCATATTTAATCATAGCTTTCTAATTAAAGCTATTACAACTTGTTCTTAAATTGTCTGCCAGTTATAGGGCTGTTTTCGCTCCATAGGACTAAACCACAATTTGGAGATTTCATCTCTTTAGGTTGCATTTTTGTTGTCAAGACTTAGGCATGCCATTAGCAACCCCTTTCCACACTCACCCTGATAGAGAGGGAGGTTCCCAGGATGTCATCGGTGTTGATGGAGAACCACACCAGGCCATTCTTATCAGTGGTAGCATTTGAGTGATGGTTAGCTTCATTTGCCTCAATGAAGATCATTTCAGAAGCGAGAGGGGTGCCTTTCCCATCTACCAAGAGCACCTGCAGATTCAAAGCAAATGTCTATCCTTCTGTGTTGCATGCACACAGTCCCAGGATTGTAGATATCATCAAGGGGCGACAAGGTGGTAAAAGAGACAGATGCTAAGGAAACATATCACTAAGGTATACTTAGGGAGCAGTAATTAACCCCAGGAAATAAAGTGAGAGTTTGAGGAGATACGAAGCAACAAGGAGAAATAGGAGTGGCTTAGCAGATGTGTTGTGGCTCATTCGCACAGATTATGTGCCACATAACGCACAGGGAGCTCTAGAAGGCAAGCGTTACATGGTGGTAGAAAATTTAGTCCAGTAGTCAAGTTATTTGAGCCTCAGATACTCATCCTGTGGTGGACAGGATAACTCCCTATGACTTAGTGCCACGGTGTGTCTTTGTGTATGCAAGCAAAGAATCCTAACACAGGTCCCGTGTGCTTCTCCAGTTGACTTATCTAGGCCCCTGCTTCTCATCCTAGATGGTCAGCCTTCTGGGAAACAGGCAGACATGAGGGTGTGCTTCCATGGGACAAAAAGTAAAATGGAGGAGGCACACTTAGCAGTAAGTCAGGTTTTAAAACCTAGCTGTTATTAATACTGAATTCAGAAAAATAGATGAAAGATAGATAGATAGATAGATGATAGATAGATGGATAGATAAGACAGATAGATAGAAAGATAGATGATAGATAGATAAAAGAAACAACCCAGTCCATATTATAAAGTTGATGACTTCTTTTAAACTATAAGCTACTTTGAATTTTTTGTTGCTGTTGTGAGCCTAGCTTTTAACAGCTGAACTGTCTCTCCAGCTTCACTTTGAAATGTTTTTTATTTTTAATTAACACATAGTATCTATTTATAAAATCCAATGTGAAATTTCAATCCATATACAAACAGTGTATAATGATGGTATAATGATGAGATCAAGACAATGGGCATATCCCTTGCCTCATATATTTGGTAGCAGAAAACAAAACAGGCTGACATGTATCAGTATTCCTAATTACCAATAAAATCTCGATTTATCAATAAACTGTAGCTTCCTGTGCAAGCAGAAGATGGCACACAACTTCACTCTTCCGTCATTTGCTAAGGGTCTTGTGACAGATAGCAATTTCCCAGCATTGAATTAGAAACACTGTACTAGACTTTTGAGAAGTTTTAAATGGACTACACTTTGATTTTAGGAAATGCTTAGTTTCTGATTATGTTCTGCACAATACATAGTACACACTGAGCTGGGCACAACGGTTTCCCCAGATTTCTGGAGTCACAAAGGTCATTTGTCCATCTGCTTACACTAGAAAAATCGTAACAGAAAGTTGTCACAGGTCTGCAAAAAAGGTCATTGTGAAAGGGTAGAAGCCTCAAACAGCGCTTTATCTCTATATTTAGGGCTGTCGAAAATTATGTAGTTGTCCCTCAGCTGAAGAATGGATACAGAAGATGTGGTACATTTATACAACGGAGTACTATACAATGGAAAAAATAATGACATCTTGAAATTTGTGGGCAAATGGATGGATCTAGAAAACATCATATTGAGTGAGGTAACCCAGATCCAGAAAAATAAATATAATGTTACTTACTCATAAATGGCTTTTAGATATACAGCAAATAAAAATCAGCCTACAATTCACAATGCCAGAGAACCTAGATAACAAAGAGGACCCTAAGAGAGACATACATGGATCTAATCTACATGGGAAGTAGAAAAAAATCAAGATCTCCTGAGTAAATTAAGAGAGTAGGTATGATGGGGGAAGGCAGAAAAAGGAGAGGAGAGGAACGGAGGGGAATAGAGAAAAAATATATAGCTCAATAAAAACAGTTTTAAAAAAATGATAGCACCTGAGGAGAAATAATATCTCTGCACCCCCTCTCACACACACACAGAAAGAGAGAGAGAGAGAGAGAGAGAGAGAGAGAGAGAGAGAGAGAGAAGAGAAAAGACAAAAGAAAAAAATCTGTATTTGTTCTTACAAAAAAACTAATGATAAAGTAATATTTATGAAAAACCTTAGGCACAAAGGAAAAACAACCTCTATATTCATTTTTACAAGGAGTTGATGTTAGAAGGGTAATATAACTTGTCATTATAAATTTTGACAGGGTTAGGGGATAACATTATAAAATCTGCTAAGTAGACCATGAAAAGACTTACTGATTTTAAACAATGCTGTTCTAAAAATGATTTTAAAAAATCTTACAAACTTGACAAGCTTTTAGATAATTTTAAAGACTTCAGATTCAACTTTAAGTCCAAAGCATGTATTTTTATACATCATAACCTTTGGTAATAGACACTTGGTTGTATGTTCCCCCTTTGGCTTCACTGATTGAGAGCACCAGCAAAGCACAGTTATAGCAGACATTGTACCCGTGATGTGAATTCTGACAGCACATGACTTGACGAATGGAAAACTACTCCACCTGTCCAACAAATGGGATCCCTTGTCTGAAGTATGAGTTCACGTTCACAAATGACAGGCTGGTCAAGGTTCTCGTGATTTTAATGGACCCTTTTCCACTTCCTTCCACATCTGAAACAGAGGGGAGATGTTCTTTGATGGCTGATGGCCAATGGCCATGAATTTCGTACGTCATTACCTCTTTCTTATAGTTCCTAATTTGGCCCAAGCAAGAAATCAGTGTCCTTTTCTTCTCCCACGCCCACGTGACACACAACCTGTTCCTTGTTCTTGGATCTTGGCGTTCACGTCAAGCTGCATCTCATACTCTTCCCTCTTTAGCTGGAAAGCCTTGGTTTTCAATACAAGCGAGAAGCAGCCCTGGTTGTCTAGCTAATAAGGGAGAAAATAAAACACAAACACATAATGCAGATTATACTGCATGGATCAGTTAATCTGTCAGAATTTAGGGGGAATGATAAAGTAATCTAGGCATACTATATTATATTATGACATATTATCCAGGGACTTATGGATATACTTATGGATAATTTTATAATGATATCTCGTGTGTATAACTGACAGATATAAACTTGCTGCCTGATATTCGCTAGAAAGAATAATTGAGAAAAATGCCAATGGTTTAGGTTATCTAACTGCAGCAGAGCGAACGCTTCTCTGAATGCTGGGTCCCCGTCCCCATGGCAGACAGTTTATAACAATAGTCACCTATTTAATGACTATCTCTCCTCCCTGGCATCTAGATAGGGCACTGTAATAGGTTCTTGTTTCTAGAAAGAAAACAGAACTGACACAGTTCAGGATCAAAGTAATTTAAAAGCTGTGTGGCATGTGTTCTTCTTTTACACAAGATACCTGAGACGGCTTTGGATGATTCGACTTGTTCTGGAACATGTACATTGGGCAGTCGCAAATGACAAGTAATTATTTTTCAGCTAAGTCATTTTTTTAAAAAGTTTCTTAAAGGTACTATAGACCGTCCCCCAGCTTAACAGCATGTGGCTGCTAACAAACAGCGAGTTTGTTGGTAGCTCCCAGAAGGCACAGCTCTGAGCCTACCTGTTCACTGAAATTCTCACAGAAAGCCAATGACTCGTCGCCAAAGCAGTTAGAAGGATGACTGTAATTCCTGCATATGCTCACGGCCACATGTCCCGGAACAGGCTTCCCGTAGGTGTATCTGCCATGAGAACGTAGCCACATGATTCACAGCAGCACTGGACGTGCCCATTGCTTTCTTCCGCGGGTCCCCTTCAGCTACAGCACGTCTATCCCCATTGTTTCTTTCTGCCCTGTGGTGAGGTCACTCATTACACACTGGAAGCTGACACACCGACTGGACTCAGAAAACCCTCCACGGCACGCGCTGGAGCTCACTTCATTCTTCTTTTGTCAGGTGTTTTGTTAATCGTGGTTTTTAAAAAAATTATTATAGGTTAATTTATTTTGAGACAGCTTTAGAGCCTGGGGTAGCCTTGAACTCACTATCCTCCTGCCTTGGCTTCCGTTGTGTTGAGATGACAGGCGTATATCACCATATTCAGTTTTTAACTTTTAAATCTCAGTATAATCTAAATAGTGGTGCTTTGTTACAAAGACTAAATAGATTGCTTTATCAAAAAATTAAATCAGGACTTACAGTCTTAGGTTTCTTAATGACTTTTTTTTTCTTCTCCCCCAACTCTTCTGGCCCAGTCCCTTCATCTCCCTTCTCCACTTTGCGGCCACACACACTCCCTTCCTCTGCTCTTCCCTTCCAATGGTCTCCTGATCTCACAGAGTGTACCCATACGTATCCCGACTTGTACACACTCTTAAGAGCATTACAAGCTAGGATCCATAGGTGAGAGAGGATGTGTGACTTTACATTCTTAAAGGAACAGTAATACCTACAGACACAAAATATACTTAATAGAAACAGCAAACATTTTTAAAATGACTTAAGAGTCCAAACTACCAAAATGTGTTCTCAGTATACATCTCTACGTATATGTTTGTTTACCTTTTATAAAAGAAGTAGAGTTGTGGCATTAATGTCACATATGATTGCTTTGTTTCCTTCCTGGTTTGGAAATCTGACGTATCCCCTTCCTCTCTTTGCAAAAACATTGGTCAGTAGTCACAGGGGACTTGGTGGCCACAACTGCAAAGGAGCCGATGCATGTGCCACATGCATGAGCTCAAGGAAGCACCGGTCTTTTTGCTTTCTGGTCTGTTAGGGCCACTGCAGGTCTCTTGGGGGCCTAAGGTCCTCCAGACATTTCTGGATTCAAAGGGATCACCCTGAAAGAGCATGTTTAGTCTCTCTGTGAAGATGGCAGTGCGGAGATGGAGGCGACAGCTCAAACAGCCTGCTGGATTAAGGACGATTTGGATTCTGAATCTACTTTCATTGCCCACTGCCTGCAAGGTCAAATAAGTGACCTGTTACTAACTGAAATTCCTCTATACGCAGGCATTACTTTTCTCCCTCCTTAGTGCATGGTATCACTTATGGCTAAGGGAAAACCAGCACGCTTCAGTACACTTGCATATGCGCGTGGGTGTATGCGAGTGTATATGTTCAGTTTTCTCACTTGTAGCATCAATCCCAGCCACATGGCCTTTTATAAATGGTTCCCACCTCATGATAGTTATAGAAATGTTGATAGAGATGATATAAAGAGAAATAAGAAGGAAACACACACACACACACACAAAGGAGCAGGATAAGAGTGGCCTATGGGAACACCCTCGAAGTATTTAAATTTCCCATGTCGCCCCTGCTCCTGGGGATATCAAAGTATCTCAGATGGTGAGTCCACCTCAAAGGGCTGTCACTGCTGTGTTCATCAACTCACAAGCCACACACCGACACGCTTATCTCTTCTTCCATAATGGTGATCATCTCTGGCACTGCCACCTTCACTTCAAACTTGGGCAGCACTGTGAACCGCAAGAAAGGAGGTTAGTGGTCACGCTGCAGAGTCGAAGGCTTTAATATTGTCTACTTCTTTGTAACAATTCTCTAATGATATCCCAGTATTTTGTAAAGGTAACTCCATTCTCCAATTTATCCACACTTAACTTCATTCTCAAGTAAAGATTTTAATTAAGGAACTATGACAATTCACTATAACATTGAAGAGTCTCTTCCCCACCCCCTTTCTCTCTCTCTCTGTCTCTCTCTCTCTCTCTCTGTCTCTCTCTCTCCTTACTTTCTCTTCCTCCCTCCCCCTCTCACTATTGAAACAATATTTTATTTTGGTCATTCAATATTGCTACAAAAATCAAACTAAATTTCATTCACAAAGTACTGATGCATGCCCCATTGGACTTAGATGTAATTGATTCTACTCTATGCTGTGGGAAGATCTTCTGCTTATGTGTTACTTTTAGTGGTTAATGAATAAAGAAGCTGCTTTGGCCTGTGATAGGACAGAATAGAGCTAGGCAGGAAAACTAAACTGAATGTTGAGAGAAAGTAGGCAGAGTCAGGAAGAAGCCATGTAGCTGCCGCAGGAGACAGACATGCTGGAACCCTGCCCATAAACCATGAACCTCGTGGTAAAATATAAAATAATAGAAATGGGTTAATTTAAGATGTAAGAGCTAGTCAATAAGAAACTAGAGCTAATAGGCCAAGCAGTGATTTAATTAATATAGTTTCTCTGTGGTTATTTCGGGTCTCGGCAGATGGGAAACAAACAAGCAACCTCTGACAACTCTAAGTCCAAAATCATCCACAGGAAACCAAAGGACTCTCTACAGACTCAAACTATGAGTTCTAGAGGTCTCAGTTATAAAGGACAACATTCTATGATTTTCTACCATCCATACCAAATTCCTCTACGAAGAAGGAGTGTTCTATAAATCTGTCTGTTTCTGTCTGTATCACCATTTTGTAGGAGCCATGAGGGGGCTCCGAGGAGAGAGGGAAGGACAACTGTTTGAGGCCACTCTCTAACTTGAAACTCTGCCACTGTGCAATGCGATTTCCTTTGGGGTCCTGTAATAAATTAACCATAATTCATAAAAGGGCGGAGAACATTAGAGGTTATGAAAGAAATCTATGGAAGCGTCCACGTTATCCATAAAGAGGGTGCATGAGAATGGCTCAGAGGGAAGGTGAATTCCAGCCCACCATTCCTAGATGGGCTGGAAGCTTCTTCCTTCTCCAAAGTCTCTGGCATATGATTGTAAGAAGTCCCCACAGAAGATTTCCCATGAAATGACTGCTGACTGCTTTTCTCCTGATTGTGAACTATTCACATCACTTACCTTAATGTACAGAAGAGGAATCTGAAAGAAAAGAGAGAATTGTATAATGTTCTCAAATACATGGAATAACTCAACACACATATTTATATATCTATTCTACCAAATTAAATTTTACTCAAATTTAATTAATTCATTTCAAGCAATTAATAGGTGATATTAAGAATTTAGTTGCATGGATAATATCTATATAGATATATAGATTATTATATATACCTATATATAATGAATATATCTATACACACACACACACACATTGTGCTATTGTTAGGAATAGAGTTTACCAATACTGCAATACTGTCTAAAAGCTTGTAGCATCCTAGTCAAGAATATTACCTTGCTATGCAACTTTACAGACTGAAAAATAAATACTTGCCTCTGGAAGTAACTACTCTTGAATCCAATTATTAGTACACACCATTAGGTGCTGCTAGGAAAGAGAAAAGATGAGAACAGCTCCTCTACCACCCATGTTTATTCACTTACAAACTAATATTTATTCCATTTTCTTTTGTGTGTCATTCTAGATGCTGAGAATAGAAAAGAACAATATGTCTGTCTGTCCTCATTCTAAAAGGATGAACAGAAAAAGAAAACACACACACATGATGACATCATATATATGTATATTATATATATGGTTTGATATATGTGTATGCCTGTGACATATATATTGCTCACACATGTTAGCTTGGCAGAGTGGTGGATATCATATTTGATTTTAGGTAGAGTGAAAATAGAAGCCAAGAGACAACTATCAAGGTTGCTGTAATGGTCTTGTGTAAATGGAGACTGCGCTTTAGTATCCTGGCCACTCAGATCCAAATAATGAACCCAAAACTATATTAATTACAACACTGTTTGGCTGAGGGCTCAGGCATATTTCTAGTGAGCTCTTACATCTTAAATTACAACCTAAATTAACCCGATTCTATTAGTCTACTGGTAAGGTTCCAGCATCTTTCTCCTTCAGCAGTTACATGCTATCTGCCTGGCTCCATCTTCTTTCTCCCTGCATTTAGTTTAGTTTTCCTTCCTAGTTCTATTCTGCCCTGCCATAGGCCAAAGCAGCTTTTCTTATTAAGCATTGGTAATAAAACACATTCACAGTATACAGAAGAGAATCCCACATCAGTCTTGTTTACAGATGTTGGCCAAGTTGTGACAATTCAGGTAGTAAAAAATAGTATTTTTCTAACCAACACAATTTTGTGTGAAGTAGATATAGGTATGTGAGACAGAGAAGCCAGGGTCATGGCGTTTCCTTTGCCTTTGGGGTTAAAAGAGCATTGACTCTTTGGAGGAGGAGAAGATACAGCAGGAACGTAGCTGAGGATGGAGAGTTGGTCTGATGTCCACACTGTGGTAGAAAGAGTTGCGAATCCTCACAAAGGAATAAATTTAATACTCCCAACTTCTTTCACGGCGGAGATTTTGGTGTGTTTGAAAAAGATTTAAAGTTCTAAGAAATACTTGAACTTAAGATTTTTGGACGGCTGTCCATTGTTTATTTTCTTCCGAGTTAGACACTGAAGAGTAAGTTTAATTATGTAACAAGTGACTGAGTGCCAGATCTGTCCCAGTAGTGGCAGAACACGTTCCCTACTGTTTGACCTGGGATCCTGTTTCAAATGAGGACCCTGTACTACCGCAGCGTGAGGAATCACGGTTAGTACTGCCCAGTGTTTCCTCCTTCGGTAATCAAAGCAGGGGCCTAGCCAGTTTATACAAGTAACAACAGTTTTATGTAAATAATAGGAGACTTACCAATTCATTAAGGGGGTGAAAAATTTCGTCCAATGAGACAACACGAAAGTTCACTGAAATAGAAAAATTTTTGTTGAGCCCCTGACCAGTTCTATAGGTGGGCAATACAACTATTAAGGAGCCAGGATCATAGGGACTGTGAGGGTCAGGCAGAGGGAGAGGAGCTTCCTTTTTGATGCTGTCCTGACTGTGGATCTCACCTGTCTGCCCTGGTTTGTAGATGGATTTGTCAGTCTGGACAAAGATCAAACTCTCTTTTTTCTTAATCAGCACTGTGCTCGTCTTCCTGAATTCATGAGTTGGTCCTTTTACTTGGACAGTGAGGAACATCACCTCATTGGACAAAGCCGGTGGGACCTGAAATACGGAGGAGTCTGAAACCCAGGGAGTCTCTCCAGCCTCCTCCTCTCCCTGTTCTACATCTCTACGGAGATCTTGCCCTTTTTAGTTAATTTCGCTCCCTCGTTCTCATCCAGAAAGTTGGCAGAGGCGGGAATTCTGACAATTTACAAATGGGAAGACGTGAATATAAGGTGGAGAAAGTACACTAATGAGAAAAGCCGGGACTGAGAATCTCATACGGATCTGTATGGAAAATACAGTGAAGTCTTGACTCAGTTACACTCTGCATCTGACCAAGGAGTTTTCCACTAACAGGACATTGTAGGAACCACTATCCGGGGTCTCAACACTAGGTAAAAAGAAGGTGTTTTGTTAGTACTAGAGTGTAAGTATCCCCTGTGCATCCAGCCCTGAAGAGATTTTGGACACATGTCCATGGTGCTTTCTACAGATGCCCAGGATGATTTCTACAGATTTATTTATTTATTTACTTACTTACTTACTTAATTGCTTGCTTACTTGTTTAGTTATTGGTTTTTCGAGACAGGGTTTCTGTGTAGATTTTTATTCTTGGATGAGTATGACGAGTATGATTAACCTTGACCTAGTTTGCTTTATAAACTTTAAAAAATGATTTTAATTTTAAGTAAAATTCACATTTCCCCCTTCTCTACTGCATGCTGTTGGTGTTTTTTTTTTTGACTAATGGAATTGCTCTTTGATCGTTGAACTTACTTTCAATATGCCTATAATATGTAGGTGAAACCGATGAGTGGATATTGGATCTCTACATGGGGTTGCCAGCTTCAGATTCTTTATTGGACACTCCCCGCACCCAGCCCCACTGCCTCCACCCAGTTTCTCAATGCTTTGCCTTGGTAATACCAGATCCCTACTCTAATCGAGTCAAGTAAGCCAAGTGGCTGCACTCACGGTGAAGGAGACACATTGGAACAAGTCCCTGTCGACCACGAGGTCAGTGAAGAGGCTTTGGTTTCCCTGGACAGACTCCATGAAAGCATTCACGGATACCGTCTCATTTAGGTGGCTGAGGAGAAGGCAGCCCTTCTCAGGGACGCCTGTGTGGAGCAGGGAGGGAACCAACATCATGTAGATTCTGGGGATGGAGGAGTTAGAGGAGAGTGAGGGAGTTGTTGCTATCAATGTCACTATGTCCCATCACAGTTCCACCATTACCATCCTCATCCTTAGCTATAGAGTAAGAGAAGACAGACACCGAACTGCCATGAACGGAGTAAGAATTAACTGCCCCCTTTGCTCCCAGGCCATTGTAGTGGCCATCTTTATTGAGAGATAGATAGATAGATAGATAGATAGATAGATAGATAGATAGATAGATAGATGCATGTATCCAGCAAGCTTGTAAAATTAACACACCAACAACTTGTTTCTGTTTTACAAATATGGAATCTGAACCTCAGAAATAATGATAGATAGATAGATGGACAGACAGATAGACAGACATATAGATAGGCGTATGCATGTATCCAGCAAGCTTGTAAAACTCACACACCAACAGTTTGTTTGCATCGTATATGTTTGCCTTTCCAAAAGTAGGGAAAACTCCATTCAAACACAGCCCATACTCTGGTAACTCAGGAGAAAGGCAGAGAGTTTCTCAATACTGTAACATACGACTGAAAACACTCATGCCCATCTTACAGACTTTCAAGTTAACTTCTATTCTTATTGTATTTTTAAACACAAGCAAACATACCTTTTTGACACTCTAAAATAAGACTTAATTTCTCTTAAATTAGGTTTCAACTTCTCCATTGAATCTTAAATTTATAAGTACTACCGCTTATTTAAAAATATGTATTGAGAGGTATGGTGGCACCTGACTTGGGAAGCTGAGCCAGGGGGATTACCAAGATGCCTTCCAGACCTACATAGCAAGGTCCTGTGTCCAAAATCAATAAGTAAGTAAATAAGTATGTATGTAAATAAATAAATAAATAAATGCACATGAAAGTTCTTTTGGTAATGGTCAAAAATTCTAATTTCTATGCTGCTAACTCTCTAGAAGTTTATACTACGATTTCATTATGCTTCAAAATATGTCATGAACAACATAATTTTAATTAACAGGTATATACACATTATACTTATGCATGAAATTTATATGCCTGTGGTCTATCCAACATGGATATTGGCTACACTCAACTCGTGGGTATGAAAATACAACAACTCTTGTTTTAAATGTGTGACTAAAATTCGTGTCAAATATTTCTTATGACTGAATTATTTTCAGAAGTTATAATACACAACTTACCAAAAATATATAAATGATGATTCATACATAATAGATTTTAAATGGAAATACTTGCAAAGCACGCCCTTATTGAGAATTGTGCCACCCCCACCTCCTACCCCCCAGGGAACATTGATGATACGTGGTTGGGTATTCCTCATGAAAAGAAGTAACATTCTTCTTTTGAGTAAATACGAGCTCTAAGGGAAACAGTCTCCAACATGAGTACGTAAATAGTAGATGGCAGTTATACCTTTGTCATCGTTTCTTGCACATCCTCTTGTATGATCTGCCCTTAATTACCTAGAGCCAGTGCTCCCAAATATTCTGTCTGTCTGTCTACTCTTGTTTCTTTGAAACACAGACCTAATCACTAGCTAATTTGCACGTCACTGGGTCCTTTACTTTCTCAACATCAACATACACACTGCGAGCCATTCCTAAAGATTTGTGACTCTCAGACAAAGCGCTACTCTGGAGAGGTGTGTCTTTATTTAATCAAACAAGGTGAGGAATGTAAAGATCACAGGGTCTCGCAGTCCGGAAGACCGACTGTTACTTCAAGCATCCAGAAAGATGGCGCATCACAAGGGGATCTGGATGTTCCGAAATCCAGAGAGTTCAGAAATGTTTAAGGGTGAGTAAAGGAGGAAGAATGAATGAGCGGGATTTGGGCCATCTCGGAGCTGGGAGGAACTTCAGAGGTGAGAAAGAAGGAAATGATTAGAGGAAAGGAACGAAAAACCAAGACCCTAAAGCCAAGCTTCTTGCGTTCTGTGGAACTCACGGGTTTTGTGATGTGAAGGCATCTGTGGGCAGCAGAAGCAGCAGCCGCAGCGGCAGCAGCAGCACGGCCACGCTTGGGTGTGGGAGCCTGAGTTTCCCCATGCCACAGGTCCGACTGGAGACCCCGCTGCCTTGCACCTGCCGAAGATCTGGTCCTGAACGTGCTGCAGAGCAGCCGGGCTTTACGCTGTTCTTTGTGCGAACAGCTGGTTCCACCCACAGAAGTTCTCTAAACAAAGCTGAGGTCTTTGAACAGGCTCTGAAAAGGTCGTTGATGGCCTAATTACTGCCAAGGTTAATTCCTAGCCGGTTAGCCAAAATTCCCAGAAGGATTAACCACTTTTCAGTTACTGCTCACTTTTTCTGGTTTTTCCAATAGAGCGGATAATCGGCTTCTCCACCCCCGTAGCCTCCCGCAGTGCTTTTTCTTGATGCTCTGGGCTCCTGCCTGGATAGTTGGCAAGGAGGGTGCAGTTTAAGCAGAGCTAGGGAGGCTTGAATAGTTCACTCCAAACGAGTGTGCCAACAAGTTCTGGGCCACATAAAGACTGTCTTTAACGTGAAGCCCACGTTCAGCAGCCTTCTGTGAAAAGGATTTTGAACCAAATTAGCAAGTAAGTTTTGACTTTAGAGGTATTATATACTAGGTTGCAAATGAAGCGTCAGGTTCAGGAAAAATGATTTTTCTTAAGTTTCCTAATGTTCAGCTGTAATCCAAGTGCTGGAGGACAGGAGACAGGAGTATCCTGGGCTTGCTGGCCAGCCAGTCTAGCCTAAACAGTAAATTTCTAAGTCTCAATATAGCACAGCATTGACCGGAGCCTTCACACACATACATTTCTAGTCTAAGAAAGTGGAAAGTAACAAGTTTCAAATAACCCCCGTCTACTGTTCCCAACAAAGATCCTAATCGTCTTTGCCATCCAACATTTTTGTATACCACGCTCCCTTTTCTAATCGCTACGTCCTAGAAACAATTTTATTAATTGGCGTGTCCATCCATTTGTTCTTGCAACTCCTTGGTTATTCCTAACCATTTGTTGATCCTCCCTGGCCAGAACCTAGCGATAGAATGTCAGACAAGAGAAGCAAGAATGAACAAAAATTCTAACATTCTCACGGGGCACGGGATAGGATAGATTTTACCAGTGAGACAAATGAAGTAGCCACCCATTATCTTTAGAGATGCTGAAGACTCCCCGAGGGCAGGAACGACAGGCACCAAGTCCAGCCGGGGCTCCTGGAAACAATTTGGGAGGAAGCAAACGTCTGAAAGTAAGCTGTGAAGTGTGAGCGGTGGTTAGCCCGAGGAAGGGGGTGGGGGAGGGGCACCCTAAGCTTTAGAATGGCATACATATGCAGGAGCTCAGGAGGGGAGAGCAGTAATGCTCTTGATAAAACAAAATGTATTTGTCCTGAAAGAAATGGCTGACTGATTAGAAGGGTGGCTAAGATAGTTGGCTTTAAATCAGAGAAGAACTTTGACAATATTAAAGTTCAGATTTGTTCCCTGAGAAGCTCAATCTTACTGAAATATGGAGTGGACAAGGAAATAATCCAGAAGATGGCAGGCTGAGCGGAGTGAGCGGAGTGGGTTCTACACCAGGGCACTCACGATGGAACCAGAAAGAGGTTGCCGAGTGACAGCGCGGTTAAGAGATAAGATTACAGGGAATAAAAAGCCTTGTTTATTTTAATTTCCCAGCTAGTAGGTGAGTGAATTATGCTGCCTTTGACTGAGTAAGACAGAGAACAGACAGGCAGGAGCAGAGGCAAGGACAGAGGGCTGAGCTGAAAGAACACATAGTTTTAGGCAGTTCGGGTGTGACATCCAAGTATTCTTTCTGCTCTTGGTCTCTTTGTTCTAGGAGTAAAGTCTGTACCCTATCCTTATGTGCCATTACTTATGTGTGAATCGCCTCTATCCTTTACTGTCCATGTCCTGGGTCATAATACGAAACTGGGGTTATCTCATTTCATTGTGGGCAGCATCATGAAAATATGCACTGTTTATCACTGTATACTAAAATTAAACTGCCTAGATACCTGAGGTCCCCAGATTCACCTGCTTGTGCAGGCTACAGGAACAAATGCCAATGCTCAGAAAATGTTAATGGAAAAGTCAAGAGCCCAAGACAAGGGCCCAAGAAACACTTGTCTAAGTGAGAGGCAGAGGCAGTCAAATAGAGCAAAAGTCAGGAATCTAAGGAGAGTGAAAGAGTCTCTGAATCTCAAGAAAAAGACCCTTCACACAAGAAAGTAATTTACTAGGTCAGCGTAATTGTGAATTTATGCCAAGGCATAATAGCATTCAAAATTAAGAATACAAAGGACTTACTTTATAATACCTTGATTCAATCTGTAACAGAATTTGAGACTTTTTTTAGATGCTAGAAACAAACATTTCCAGGGATGATTTCTTAAGACAGGATGGACAGAAGTTAATAAAATTTACTTCTTCTCTCATCGTAAATTGTGAAGATAAACAGTGAAGGTCACTACTGACAAGTTATGTCACTGTGACATTCAATTATAGAATGACAACTATTCATCTAGATTAGGGATGACAGCCTTGAGAGCCAACTGTCTCCATGTTTATGTGGGACAGAAGCTTCACACAGACACAAAGGTAACATGATAAACAGGAGAGACTTTTGTAGTTGATTTAAGAGGAAGAAAATGCCAGTGAATGTCTGCTAGAGATGCAGAAGGAAAGGAAGAGCGACGGTCTAGAACATCTGTCTGATGGCTATAGTGAATGTCAACTTGTCAGTATCTAGAATGACCCAGGGCATGGGCCTTGGACATCCTCCATTATCTTGGTCACCTTGGCTGAGGTTGGAAGACCCACCTCTTGTGGGTGGTACAATTCCTTGGAAAGTGTGAAAATGGAGAAAGCAAACGGAACACTGGTCTGCAGGTTTAGTTCACACTCATGGTCGGCTTTGACTGTGGATGTGATGTCCTACTGCTTTGAGTTTCCCACCATGCTGTACACCTAAACCTCAAGCCAGAATGAGTGTTCTCCTTTAACTTGCTTTTGTCAATGGCTAAGGCTAAGAATCTTCCACTTGTGTAGCGAAGGAATCATCTCACAGGGACACTCCGAGGACACAACCAGGAGATGTGCTATAAATGTGCATCCCAATGGAGCTGCATTCAGTTGTAAACCCTAATGAAATGCTGCCATTTGCAGCCAATGATGGAACTCCAGAACACAATGCTAAGTGAAACAATGCCAGACACAAGAAGGCAACAGAAGTCAAATGGAAGTAGAACTATGAATACTAGAGCTAGGAAGGACAAAAGGAAGTTGGAATTGATCTGTGCACTCTGTGTGCATGAGTGGGCTATATATGGTTATACATAGAGAGATTCATCACCTCCTGGTGGAAGGATATTCTTCCCATATATCCCATTGCTACATACTCATTTACAAAGAGCAAACGTTTTCCAAACCCATTTCACTTGGGGTGAAGAACTTGAGAAGAAAAAATTGACAAGTGGGTGGAGCAGTCAGTCTCCAGATCACCAGAGCCTTGGTTCTGAATGAACCATGTGGTCGGTCTTGGCCAGCTGGGTATCTGCTCTGCACCTTAGCTGTCTTGCCAGTGAGTTGGAGGTATTACCATCTGTGCTGTCAGACTCATGGGACTAACATAGACCAGATACTGTCATCTTCAAACTGCAAACCTTATCACATTAACGAAAATTAATCTCTATATTTTAAACCTTCATGATTGAGAAGAGATTGTTCATATCTTTTATGGGTTTCACTATGGGTGTCCAACATTACTTCCAGGAAAAAAAATGCAAGTTGCTTTACCTGAATAGACAATGCCTCATGGGAAAGGGAGCACACAGCCTGGATGGGTTTGTTTTACACATCTTTAAAGAACTTAGCAAGTGTTTACAGATAGTAAGAGAGAAAATAAGAAAGGCAGTTCATGGAACAGAAAAAAAGTGTGCAGAACACAGGGGGAATATTTGGGAGTTGGGGGGAAAAGCAAGATTAGGAGATGGGCCTTAATAAAGATTAGTAAGAAAAAAGTTTCCCTCACATTGCAAAAGTACTTAATAGGGACTAGAAAGTTCTGTGGTTGGGCTCGGTGTGCACTAGCTAGCATTGCCCAAGACAGGAGAACATGGGAAACAGGTATGTCTTCTGTCCCTGTGATTGTGAGGACATTTTAGCCGTTTATACATCAACCACCTTTCAAAACAAGGACATTAGGTAGGTGTCAAGTCACACTCGCCAGTTCAGAAATGGTGCAGGCCTGGAGCCCGGAATGCGGGGCAGCGCATGTCCACTGTGAGGCTCTCAGGACTGAGTACATTTTGTTTGTGCGATCTCATGGCCTCCCCCAACTTCAGTGAGATAAAAGCAGAGCAGTTCCCAGCCATTTCTATAACAAAGTCCTTGCTGCCGGTGCCCCCAAGTTAGCAAAGTTTAGCACGTTTTGCCTTCTCACTTAAATTCTATTTGCTCCCTTAGGTTTCTGAAGACACCTGGCACCCACAGCCAGAGACCCCTACTGAGATATGGAAGGATTAGTGACCAGACTAAACCAATTCTGCTCCAGTCTCCACACGCACATTTTGGAAGTCTCGCGGATGTGTTTTTGCTCTGATTTTATATTTGTTTTATTACTTTTATGAGTGTGCATGTGTGGCCCGCGTGTATTTCTGTGCACTATTTATTTGCACACCTGGTATCTGCAGAGGTCAAGGGAAGGTAACAGATCCCTTGGAGTTGGATTTCAGATGGTTCTGAGCTGCCATGTGGGAACTGGAAATCAACTTAGGACCTTTGGAAGGGCAGTCAGTGATCTTAGCCACCGAGTCATCTCTCCAGTCCCTCCAGATTTTAGTTGATGTGTCTGTATAATGTTTGCTAAAAGTAGAGTCTTGTAAAATATCTTACACACACTTTCATGTCATCTATTCAGAATATAATCTCCTGTTAGCAGTATAAAAGACAAATAATCTTTTAAAATGTAACCAGTTTATGGAAGAGACACGGCACATACTCTTCCCTTTGAAGTCTGTGCTCTCTGAGATGCTTGGCATCATTGCCACTGCCAGGAGCCATGTCTGCCACTTATGGCTTAGCTTGGCTTATGTTTTATTTTCTTATTAGAAAGTCCTTCTTCCTAATCAGAGGAGAAGGGTATGTTAAGATGAAGCTGTCAATAATAAATGGCATAATTCACATACTTCATGTATTTTTATAGCAAATTATAATTAAGTATGCTCATAAAACTTGAAATAGCATGGTGCCATTTGAAAGGAAATTACGAGTTATTTATAAAGCAGAAGAACATGAGGCATATGTCATGCATCATCCTCTGAGGCTATAATAAGAAATAATTCCATTAATTGGTTAAACATTATAATGTCTTTTTTAAAGTTAATGCATTTTAATTTTTGTGTCAAAGAGAAAATGTTTATTTTTATTAGGGAAAATAATTTAAATGTTTCTTGTTGGCATAACCTATAACTTTATAATAGCTTTTAAGCTCTATCATTTAGCCCGGTATGGTGTTTTCTTATATGAAACATATGCTCAATACAGTGACATTTTCTAGAACTTGAGTTTTTCTTGCTGTGCAGGAACCGGAATAGAGACTTTTCATAGAGATTTTACACCTTGTCTTAAAATGGGTAACTTTTTATTCTAGGCCTAATTCGAGGGCATTTTTTATAGGAACTGCAAAATGAACCCCATATTCTACCAAATAAACAGGATGCTGTTAAAGAACACTGCTAAAGGGTACTGCAAAAGGATGTTGCTAAAGGATGGTGTTAGAAGGTGCTTCTAAAGGATGCTGCTACAGGGTATGCCAAAGGATGATGCTAGAGGATGCTTCTATGGTTACTAGGATTGTGCCAATATGATTGCACTGACAACTTTGGAGGTTTACGCCATGCAAAGGTGAGACGCTGAAAACATATATAGTCTAAAGTACGTTACTTAAAATATGTATACATGATAGAATGACTTCAACAATATTTTTAATGACATTTTTACTGTGTGTGTGTGTGTGTGTGCATGCGCATGTGTGTGTGCCATACCAATGCTCCTGTGGAGGTCAGAGGATAAGTTGCAGGCAGGAGCCAGCACTCACCTTCCACCATGTTGGTCCTGGGATTAGGTGTGGTGGAAGTGCCTTTACTCACTGAGCCATTTCACCGGTCCTTGCCCCAGTAACATTTTCAGAGGACTCTTTTCTGTTGAGCCTTCCTAAAACTTTAAACTTTGCTTTTATATAAAGACAGAGATCTTTTTTTGTGTTTCTATTCTGTCAGTTCATTTATTACTAACACAGATGAGAGTTACAATGAGGCAATTGGCGTAGGAACTATGAAAGTCACACAGTAATTTAGAGAGAGGCTGGGCTTCTAGTGTAAGCTGCAAGGGTTTGGAATTCTGTCTGACACAATTACTCATTCCTAGTGTTTTACTCATTTAATTTTCAAGAATGGGAACTACTATCTTATTTCATGAGTGCTTTAAGTTCAGACTTGGTAAGTGTTCACTATACTTCACTCAAATGCTATGTAAGAATATGATGTTCTCCTGAGACTCCATTTCAGAGCATCAATAGCTTTAGAGCTGACATTTGAGACACAATCTAGTCTGTGGAGCAGTCCCATGGGACAGGACATTCTGAGGACATTCAAGTCTTCCTGCTGGATCCTCTATTGTTCCTCCTTTCTGAACTAAGTGGGAGTCCCAGTATAGGCTTCTTAATTTTTGCAGAAGAACAAGGAACTTAGCCATCTGACTACCAAGCATGGATTTAACATAACCACATGGCGATTCAGATCCCCAGAGGAAGTGCTCTGTAGGTTTCATATAAAGCCTAAAGGGATGGTAGACTGTTACATGCCCAGTGCTTCAAATGTGGAAATTTCCTATCAGTACCAGCCTGCTCTATCTTCATGTTTCCAACACGGGATGAAACACAGCCCCACGCCTTGTCTATCAGCTGGTGGATCCTTGCATTCCATTGACATGATCCTTTGGACTTCTGCTTCCCCTTTCTAGACAGAGGTGGACCTAATTTACTGTGTCCATTTGCCCAGCCATTCTCATCAGCAACATGCAATGCCGGTAAAGGGCATTAGACTTTTGAAAGTCGGAATAACTAATACTATGTCCATGAATGGCAGTTCTGGGGCACTGTGAGGGGCCGCTCTGGGCACACTAAGCTCCTGCCCTCAGCCCCCTCTTCTCATTTCTTTCTCTTTATAGAATATGTTGCTCCTTTGTACTTTTGCCAGCATTTCAAAAAATCTTTTGAAAAATGTGTGCCTAATTCGGCTAAGATTTGAGGAGAGAAGAAAAGAACTCGAATACTTTTAGCTTTTTCAAATATGTATTAGGTTATAACAGTAAGTCATACTTGGGCTAGTGTACAGAAAATGATATGAAGAACATAGGATATGAGCTACCCCAAGTATTTTCCAACTATAAATATCGCACATATGTTGAACATATGGATTGTTCTTTTTTTCCCTACTCATAATGATTTTAAGTACAGAGTTCAGTGGTGTTACATATATTTAACAGTGTTGTGAAATGTTTAATTTTTCCCCCACAGTTTTCATAAACATCTATATCATTATTGCCGAGTAGCACATTTAACAGTTAAATATATTTAAATAATATAGAGGTGGCTGCAGGGTTGCAGCACTGATAACTAGAGAACCAGACAATGGGGACCTGTCTAAATATTTTAAATACAACTCTTGTTTAATCTACCTTTGATTTGATCACCTTCTAGGAGGGTGTAGTGGGGGGAGCTGAACACATGGAACTATATTGAGGTCTAACCTTCCATATCCATTCCCAGAGGTTCTTTCAGCTAGATTAAGCCTCCAATTCCAAGGCAAGTCCAAATTTGTGGCCTTCAGCATTAGAGCTCTTCCAGGACACCAGAGCAGACAATGTAAATTTCATTCCAAGCCTTGGAGTCAGAGCATAGCCCACTCTAACTAGACTAGAGTTATTGACCTTCATAGAAATGGAAGCAGGAGGATCCAATGGGATTTTAGCAGCAATGCCAAAATGAGTTCTGTTAGCATCCAATGTCCAAGCAAAGTTTACTGGTGTGAAGACCTTCACATACTGTTTGATAAGCTCATTCTCCAAATTCTGTACCATTGCTGACATTAGTGTGTAACTGGAAGTCCCCAGTCCCGTAGCCTACTGCAGAGTCACCCCTTGTCAGCTTTGACTCGGCACTGTCATAGGTCAACTAGTACCCAGTATGCTGGCCCTCTAACCAAAGACAACTGAACCATGGATTGCAGGTTCAGCAAAATGAAAGCCGACATCACAGTCAAGGTTTGCACATGTGCTAGGTGCAAAGATCATAACTCATGTCAGTCTCAAACCTTGACAAGCCTGGTCTTCAGCTGCACTCTGTCCCCAGAGTGTTACCGACGTTCCATTTTTCTATAAAAGTCAGACAACATTCACACCATTTGTACTTGGTCTCCAAGGTCCCAGGAACTTTCCCAGGTCTGTATTGGATGAACTGGTTGTTGACAGTTCCACACCACTGCGTGACATTGTTGTCACATCCGGCTTCAACACCCCAAACCCAAACCCAAATCCCTTGGTGAGAACATCTCTGGCAGCTTTGCCAAGGCCAGCATACGATGGAGGGATGCGCATTGGCTGCGGGCAGTGCATACACAACAGTCTGCCATGGTGAAGCCACGCACATGCGCGTGGTGTGTGTGTGTGTGTGTGTGTGTGTGTGTGTGTGTGTCGGGGGTAACCTGCTTGTGTCCCTCCAGGTGCTGCCGCTGTGGGTCAGCTCTCAGCTGAAGCCACTCACTGTCTGGAGGTTGTACCTGCTGCAGCCGCCGCAGCTGGGAGGCCCAAATTTAATTCCTAACACTCAGATTTGAAATTTTATATTCATTAATCAATGATTCTTTTACTTCTCCTCCTCATAATTTCTAGTCACACTACCTGCCTTCTGTTTCTGTAACTTCTTTTATTAGGTGTTATATATAAGTAGTCTTACAGTGATTTTTAGTGTACAGGACAGTGTACATAGATCATATACAAACACTGTGACATTTTACACACAGGACTTGGCCATCTGTGGGCTTTGGTGTCTTAAGGTGAAGGTGCCCTAAAACCATGCTCTCACAGATGCCGAGGAAGGATGTTCTACCTACAAGTGGGAATGATGAAACATGGCATTCTTTTTCTTTTTCTTTTTGGAAAATTTCATATTCTTTTCGAGAACTTATTTCTGTAATTCCAACAAACAGTGCACGAGAGTCATTTCTCTGCATTTTCATCCCCCTTTCTTAATTCCTGTGTCATTGTAAAACACTGACCATCACCAGATACGGTGTGTTAGCCCACTGTGGTTACGGTTTGCATTTCTCTGTTAAGTAGCAAGGTCTGTCCATAGGCTTCCTAGTTATATGGACCTCATCTTTGGAGGAAGTGTCATCTGAGACACTTATCAACTAATTAACTCAGGCTGCTTTTTTGATGTACATTTATAGAAGTTCTTTATATAGTATGTCTACTAGTCTCTTGTTAGATATTGCAAGCATTTTTTTCCATATTTCAGATTGCTTTTGAATTTAATGTCTGGTGCTTGGGAGGAGAAATGTCACCACATAGGCTGGTGATTATAGGTATCTGAGCGATTAGTATCTTATTGAGGGTGCTGCTTGTGGGTTGTTATAGCATCTTTAAAAGTTGTGGCCTTGCTGAAGGAAATGTGGTGCCGGGGGTGGGTTTTGAGAGTTTACAACCTCACCCAGCTAATGGTTCATTCTCTCTGCTTTATACTTGTAGCTGTTGATGTAATCTCTCAGCTCTGCCCTGGCCCCAATTGCCAGGCCCCTCTGCTATTATGGATCCTTTCTCTGACATGTGTAGCCCAAATCCACTTCTTCTGAAGTTACCTTTGGTCATGGTGTTTTGCCACAGCAGCTGAAAGGTGGCTAATAGAGTGTGAATGTTTTGCATTTGATGTCACCTTGTCACCCGGACTTCTGATTTCTACCCTACAAATCATAGCCAAGACCAACACTATGAACTTTTCACTGCTTTCTTCTACAAGTTCCATAAGTTTAGGTCTTGTTTTAAAATTTAACTTTTTAATTTCATTTTAAAATTGGTATAGCATGAAGACCTAGCTCTATTTCTTTGAATTTGAATATTTAATTTTTTCCAAATTCTTTTTGTGGAAAAGTCTGCCCCTATTTAGTAGTCTTGAAACTTCTTAAAGCATCTTTGGCAATAGTAGAAGGTATATTTTTGGACTGTATTGAACCCACTGGGTTATTTAGTCATCCTTATTCCAGTATAGCTGTTTACATGACTGCACCTGTAATAATGCAAAGTTAGAAGTATGAGTTGTTTCCAAAGAACAAAACTGGCTCTGTAGGGTCCCTTGAGATGCCACATGAAACTTTAAATTGATTTTTATCTTTAAAGTAATATTTGATTGTCCAGTTTGCTCTGTTTTTATTTAAATGTGCTTTGAAGATAAGTTCTCGTGTAATAAAAATATCTACTTTAAAAGAATATATTATTGTGAATAGTTTCATTATAATTAATAAGTCATATATAGACAATCACTTCTTGTTCTTCTACTTCTGACTTCAGTGAGAATCCTTCAGCGGTATGTGCTGTGTATGAGGTGCTTGTTAAATATGCATGTGATGATGAAAGGGAAATATATAGAATACAAATATAGTATATATATATATATATATTTCTAAGATATAACTTCTGATATGAGTATCAAAAAATGAAAAAAAACATTTTATCAGTTGTTTCCCAATGCCCCATAGTCCTTCTCAGAGAGTAATCTTTTCTCTGGCCTCCTTTCAACTAGTTATGACTATTTGATATAGTCTAGCCAGTGAGGTTTGTCTTTGGTTTTCTATTGCTGTGATAAAACACCTTGACCAAAGACAGCTTGGGAAGGAAAACATTTATTTCATTTTACTGCTTGTAGTCTGTCATCCAGAAACATCAGGTCAGGAACTCAAGACAGGGACCTGGAGGCAGGAAGTGAAGCAGAGGCCATGGAGGGGTGCTGCTTACTGGTTTGCTTACCCATGGCTTTCTCAGCCTGCTTTCTTATAGAACCAGGACTACCACCCTAGGGGTAGCATCACCCACCGTGGACTGAGTGCCTCCACATTAATCATCAAATGAGAAAAAGTACTATACAAGCTGCCTTCGGGCCAGTTTTCACAGGACATTTTCTCAACTGAGGGTTGCTCTTCCCAAATGACTCTAGCTTGTGTCTTGTTGACATAAAACTAGTCACCACAGGGACCAAGCGGAAAACTGCTAGGTGGGGATTGTGGACAGGGACTTTATGCTTTCTAAACACACACACACACACACACACACACACACACACACAATCCCAGTGTGCACGTCGGCCTTCTTTATGCTTCCTCCATGGCAAGCGGATGTCTGTAATTCAGTAACTGTCTTGAAAACTTCAAGAAGCAGCACAAGAACAAAGTTCTGTTTGCTAAGCACGTGCCAAAGACAGCAATGGCCCGACTCCTCCTTAGCACACTTGAGCAATTGCATCAACCTGTCAGCCTTGAAACATCAACCTATGGACCTATGTTTGTTTAGTCGGCTAGCAGTGGCTTTCCTGTTGTCTGCTGCCAGAGGAATTCCTGATTAACTCTCGGACACACGTGAAATATCCTGGGGATAAGGCAATGCGGCCAGAGGGATGGGATTATGAAATAACACGAGGTGTTAGATAAACTGCGAATAAAGGAGATTTAGTTTGACTGGGACCTGGAGATAAAGCAGGAGAGAAGCAGAGCCTGAACAACATAAGACAGAATTCAGATTTAATTTTGTAGGCAATTGTGTAGCTAGTGAATGAGAGAAGCATGGTTGTTCTGGCAAGACTATGGCGTGCGTGTTAGTGAAGGGCCATGGAGGAGCGAGGCGTGTTTAGGTGTGTGAAAATGTGATTCAAACCTACAGCTACATTATGAAGGGGCTAAAAATATAGACTTTTAATATAGTTGTCATGACTTAATAACATTTCAGCATTAATAATACATTTGAGAAGAAATTATGATTCTGTATGCTATCACACCTGAGGTAACATCAACATAAAAGACACTATCTAATGTTCTATTGAAAGAAGAAAAGTCTCATCTAAATAAATGAGCATGTATTGGTGGTAAAACATATCCTTACTTCAAAGAGGTGTTTTTTTTTTTTGGTTTTAGAATCAGTTAATACTGAGGTAGTTAATATTTATGGATGCTGTCATTTGACCCAAATGACAAACATTTGTGATTAGCACTTTGTCTGGGTCATTTTAAAGACATGTGCTCAAAACTTTATAAGATAGATGTGCATTTTTCTTTCCTGTTTTAGAGATGTGCCCATGTTTTAACTGAAATGAATACATGGTCTTGTTAGCGACAAATTCGAGGAGGAAGACTCTCAGATGTACAGAATCTGGGCTTATCTGGGGGATATCCCTTGAAGATATTCAGTAAGGAATGGAGCCCGTTCAGAATTTCAAGATGCTGAAGTAGATCACGCACTCAGTCAGTTTTCAAGAATCTTCAAAAATGAGGCTCTGCATTAGGTCCTGGAAGGTTTGTTGCCATCAAAGCAGATGAGCAAAACCAGAGGATGCTGCCCTGTCAGTGCACAAACATCTTCATGCACACTGTGTACCCAGTTCTGTTCTGTGTTGCACAAAGGCCATGTCGGTCTCTGCTACTGGGATGCTATGCAGACAAAAATAAGGGAATTTTGTGCGGCAATAAATTCTGACTGAAAAGTTGCTTGTTTTTTCTTGTGAACATACTAAACAATACAGAGGGGTCCTGGTCTGGGCTGTGTATTCATTATTCCAGTGACATGACTTTTCACCCTTCCAGAGAGGGAGAAAGCAGATTTAAAGTAGAGGTGAAAAAAAAAATATTGTGGCCGGGTAGTGGTGGTGGATGCCTTTAATCTCAGCACTAGGGAGGCAAAGGCAAGTTCTGTGAGTTCGAGGCCAGCCTGGTCTACAGAGAGAGTTCCAGGACAGGCTCCAAAGCTACACAGAGAAACCCTGTCTCGAAAAACAAAGTAGAGGGAAGCATGTGCTTGGGAAGCAAAGAGACCAGCCTAAGTGAAAGAAAGAGGATACGATGGCAGAGGTCAGCACAGCTGGGCCATGCAGGAGCACTCAGAACTCCACTGCTAGGGTCTAACATGCGCCAGCAGTAATCTGGTAGGATGGGCCAACCAGGTGGCCCTCGGCTCAGTTGAAACGCTACCGAACAGAACAGAAACAAGAGGGGAAAGAGGCAGTCTACAGAATGGGAGTAAATTTTTGTTGGCCCTTTGCCTGGCAGGCACTGATACTCAGAAGATAAACGGATTTAAAAAGCAGCCCAAACAGCAAATGACAAGCCATCCTGTAGTGGATCAGCAAATGAACTGCTCAAGCATTTTTCAGACGAAGTGTAAACACCGAACAGTCGCACACAATGATAGGCACTGTCTTTAGCCTGTAGAGAAACACAAAGGCCCGTGTGAGCTTCCAATCAGCAGCATGGTTTGGTTTGATTTGTTTTTACTTTTTCCATCTATTCAGTCTGCAACTTCAAATTAGCCAAGTTAGTCTGTTTATATCCAAACTTATTACTAATGGCTAAGGGCTATTCCTGTCGTTTTGTTGAATTCTCCTGTTTTGAAAGTTGTTTGTTCCTTCCTCTCTTGCTCATATTTACGTAGCAAGGATTTGCTGTATTAATATCTGATTCTCATCTATGTCTTTTCTGTTTATCGGCTCCTCCAGCATGGCTCACACCTTGAAGTTCTTTCATGGTGATGGGTAACCCTCCTCAATTCCAACGCGGGCATCGTCAAGCATCCTTTGCACAGTGCATCTGGCAGTAATGAATTCCGTCTGGTAGTGGTTATCTGAAAGGCCTTCATTTCTTTTTCATTTCTAAAGGATACTTTTGCTGAGAACAATATTTTTGTTGGCAGTTATTTTCTCTCATAACTGATGTATAACTCCCTTCTTTCCTCGTTGTAGGGTTTCTGCAGAGAAATCTGCAATTACTTTAATGAGATAACCCTTACACGTGACTTAGGGACTTTTAGAAACCTTTCTGCAATGGACGTTGGCAGTCTGACTGTAATGTGCATTGATCTGCATCTTTGCTGATCTTCTGTTTAGGGTCCTATGGGCATCTTGTACACAAATATCCATATGTTTCCTAAGGTTGGGGATTTTTGAAGCTATTTTTATATTTTATCAATTTTATATGTCATGAACTTTTTTTCTCATCTCCTTAAGATACTTCATTTGTATTTGCCATTCAGCAATGCCTCAGAGGTCTTGAATGGTGACTCCATTCTTTCCTTTGTATTTGTTGATTCATTTATTTATCCATTCATTTCAAAAGACTTGTATCCAATTGGAATATTCTTTATTCCACAGAAACAGATCCAATCTATTGCTGATTTGACATGTACAAGGTCAGGGAACTGGCAGGAACCATGTAGGCAGAGCAGATGAGGAACCAGAGTTTCATAATGACAATTCAGTGACAGCATATGTCCAAGGGTGTGTCCGTGTTTGTCCTGACCTTTTTAGCTGCAAGCCACAGGGTCCAAGGCAAACTTAGATCCCGCTCTAAAACTGCCCCTCTTGAGTGTGGCTTGCAGCTAAAAAGGTTCCCTTCCAATGCTGTTCCCTTCCATTAATAGTCTTCCTCTGAGTGTGGAACCGTGCGGGGAAGTCATCAAGAACAACATGTGTGCCTGCTTTCCGTCCTGGCACTAGTCAAAGTTCACATGTGGCTGGCCTTGATCTCCAGAGAGCAAGCACCTGGTCCGGTTCTTAAAGATGAGCCTCCACTCTTCCTGGCCTAACTGTCCTAAGGTTGCCGTCCCCTCCAGCACAGGTGGATTTGGGCTAGTCACTACAAATCAAAACTAAACATTTTGAGGCCTGCTCTCTCTCTCCAGTAAACAGTCCTCCCTCTCACCTAGCTGTCCAGACTCCAAATCTATAGGCTCACCTTAGAGTGCTGCCTTACAACCTGGAGTTTAGCAGCAAATCTAAGTTTGTTCTTAGCCCACTGTCTTCTCTATAACTTAAACAGCATTATCAGAGTCTGGACCATGACAGTCCTGCTCATTGGTGCGGCAGCCTTCTAACTTGTCCCCGTTTCTGCCATTTCCCCCGACTATCCACTGTCTTTATAAAAGCCTAAGTACATCTTTAAAAATGAAAATCTCGTGTGTCATGTTCCAGAAAAGGTTTTCAGTCGTTCCCTGCTATGCTTCCTGTAAAATCTGAAATATACATGAATTCTATATGAGTAGCTCTAGAATACATATATTAGCACACATGCATACATACAATATAAACAGGATATACACACACACACATTAGTAGCTATAAAATGTCAGATTGCTTCTATAAGAGATTTAATAAATAATTATTGAAAGAGCATTTAAAATTGGATCAGTGTCTAAACGAGTGCTCCTAGTTGTCAACTGCCAGTCTTCACCTCTTCTTCTTCAAAAGTAGTTCCAATGTCCGTAGTGGTGTTGTCTTTCTGGGCAGGGTGTTATTGGCAAAGCTGATAAGCATTTCCCTTGTGAGTTAATAACCAAACACATGGGACTGAAAGGGGAAGCATCAAGTAACTCAGGTTTTCTAGGAACAAATTCTAGAGAAAATCTTATTTATCAGCTGATGTTCTATTTGTGCCTTAATACATGAATTCATTGACAAGTATATAGTCCACATTTCTTACATTTTTGCATGCAGACATACTGGTTGCATGAAATTCTTTGTCAATATCATGTTAGATGATTGCTTGTGTCTTTATTGTGTGCTACCAGGAACTGGTTCCTTTCTCTTTCTCCCATCCACACACCAGCAACCTCTGCTGAGTACACAGTGAATTCAAGGCAAATAGTTCTTCCCCCAAGTTAAAGCAGGCTCTTGCTTTGTGAATGTGTGTGGGATAAGACATCGGCACCCACAAAGCACTGATGGTTGCAGCCTGGACTCTACTTGAGCAGGCATGACATTCAGGGTGGCAGCCGACAGCGTGATTTCTCACAGCAAACCAAACAGCGGTCGTTCCAGTAATAATGACATTTTTGAAAGCTCTGTGAAAAGAAATTCAACATTATTTTTGGCAAACTGAGTATAACGTTGATACCCAAACATGTTAAAAAATAATGCAGATGAAGTACGCGCACAGATGAGTGTCAATGAATGCCTTAAAGAAAAAGCAAAAGTAATATGGTCAACATTAAAGAACTGATGTTTTTTTGTAATGTGACCAAACTGGCTTTAATCCATACATATTGGTAGAAAGGTATTTGAAAAAGGAAATACCAGCTAGCAAGAGAATAACCAAGGACTAAATATATGACGCTTTGTAGGTATTGAATTAGATAAACCGCTAAATAAAGATTTATTAATAAAACTTAATTTAAAACGATCGATGGCACAAAAGAGGATATAAAAAAGCAGATCAATGCAGTTGGTTGATGAACTTAGCAGCATCGCAAAGGAAAAGATCAGTAAAATGGGTGAGAAAAATCAGCAATGTGGGTGAAAGGTCAGCAAATGAAAGAAAAGTTCAGCAAATAAACGAAGATTTCAGAAAGTAAACAAGTAGAAGTGCCGGGGAACTGAAAACTGGATATACCAGGGCTGGAGAAAGTGGTCGGTGGTTAAAGGGTCTTGCTGTTAAAGTGTCCGGAAGACCAGAGTAGATACTGGAAAGCATTTCCTGTGGATCCCTCACTCACATTTAGCAGTTTGTAAATACAGGACTGGAACTGCAGGACTCTCACCCCATGCTGCCCCTTTCCACGCCACTGTTTCAGGTCCAGGAGGAGATGCGTCTGCAAGCACTCTTGGTGAGCCCACTCTTCTCTCTGCTTCCACACCTCATTCCCTTCCGGTTCCACACCCAGGCAGACCAAGTCCACACATCTTCTAGTTTAGTCTGATCCAGGACCCTGACCCAAAACTGTCCATCAATGCTGCCACGCCAGGCGCACGCACAAGGGGGAGCGACACGGACATTCTGTGACTGGGTCTGTCCCAGATCTTACCTGTGCTGCCCTCCAGGCCCAGGAATAGCTGGGCATCAGACTCCTGTGGTTTTCTTTAGAGAGTTGTTCCTGTCCCTTGCTTTCCTCCTCGGCTTCCTTTCTGCGCCTAGGCCCAGCTGGAAGCCACACTAGGCGCCTTTCTTGGACTTCATCCAAGACTCATTCTTGGACTCACATCATTTCTAAGAGTCCCCAGATCAGACAGAGTGTGAGGGCTTGAAGACAAGGTAGAAGAATTAGATCATTCAAATAAATGTATGACTTAGTTTTTTTTTAAACTGCACACATGGAATGTGCAGGGCCCAGCGACCCCTTAAGAAGACTCACACTGCAAATTTAGATATAGAACAAACCCAAGTCAGTACAATCACTGAAGAAAATTTCCCAGATCTAGGGAGAAGATCTCCATCCTTACAAGTAAAAGAGACACCCAGAATATCCAATAGGCAAGATAGTAAACCGTGATAATACACACAGTGGGATTCTATTCACTTATAAAGAAAAATAGTGAAATTTACAGGCAAATAGAATTCATATATATTCATATGTATATGAATAATATATATTTTTTGGGTGATGTAACTCAGACCCAGAAAGACAAATGACAAATATTCTCTCTTCCAAGGACCCAGGCTTGGAATCAAGAGAAT